TCTCTAAAGGAACAATGTGAGCAGACTAGGTTCTTTAATTATAATTTATAACCATACCAATTTGTCCTAAACTAATATTTTTTATTTATTTACTTAAGGTCTATACTAGAGACTACGATTTGTTGCAGTGCACCAGCAAAAACCCTGCTGTGTAAACCCCTCAAAATGAAACCATTTTCTCTGTTTGCGACCCTCAAGCCGATTGGCTGTTGAAAAAAGTTGATAGCCTTTCCAATCCCCTTCCAAACCACTTTTGAACAGGTCCTGCTCCTGCGCACTGAAAGTACATAGGACTCGTAGCACATAGTCGAAGCTGCCATCCAACCACACACCAGAGCTGCCAGTCTCGAGACCCCACATGTAACCCCTTCCCCAATTCCGGAGTGAATTTATAACATGGGCCGCGACTGCCGTTGGCTTCTGTCCATTTATCTTTGGCTGGGTTTTCCTGTGATTTTTTTTGCAGGGAAATGGGATGGGTACCCAGACCACAGAGGACCTGCCCACAATGCCACCAATGGCAGTTACATTTTATGGGCAAAGTTCACCAGAACCCAACGCGTTCCCCACATCCACGCACTTTGGCGACCAAGTGGCGCCATTTTTGCCGCATTGTCATCGCTGGGAGGATGGGGATGGGAATCTGACAGGGATTCTAGTTTATGCTTACGAGGACTTTTCAAGAAATAAGTTTTTCCTCTGTCGATTTCAGCGAAAATAAAATCGCAATCGAGGGAGTATAAAAATAAAACGAAAGTGCACAGTAAAGCGATAAAGTTGGACAGTTATAGATAGACTTTGGTGACGATTTTCTATAAATTGATTTTTATTTTCAGTTTAAACATTTCTATCGAGACTGGAATGGACAACATATATAAAAACACACTTCACTTCAATTGTTTTATAATTTATCAGTATGTATATTAAGATTATTCAGTAGAAAACTTCCTTACATCGCACCAATGATATGCGAACAAAACAAAAACTTAGTGAGACAGTTCATCATAATAATTAAATAAGTTCATTTTCAGGCTACATAACAAGTAAGCTGGCTAACTCGCTTTGTTGAGTACAGATCGCTTGAAAATGGAAAGAAGATTTATGTTGCCAAATCAGTTTTGGAGAGCAGAGTCCAGAAGACTCCATATAACTTTAAAGTATACACAATATCAAAATTAGCTACGTTTACAAAATGTTCATACATTTATAATTGTTTTTTTGCAATTTTTATATATTTTTTTTTAGATTGATTTTCATTTGTTTTATAGAAATGCCTGCACACATGATATGCAGAGTTGAGAATGAAGTGAAACTTTCGACTTGACTTGGAAAACAAATAAAAAACATCTTCTGCTGGCTATTACTAGGGGGAAGTTTGTATTGTGGCTTCTTCGACGGTTTCTTCGTTTTGTATTGCGTGGCATTGTCATGAGGCTATTCATTGTTCAAAATTGTTGTTCTCTCTTCGATTAAGTAACGACTTGAATTTGTGTTCGGAACCCAACTAGGTCGGGACAGACTTCTATATAAAAAACAAACAGTTACACGCAAGGTAGAGCATTCTACGCAGAAGTCTTAAATCTTTCATTTTAACTAAATTTAGTTGATGCCTAGTCAGGTGTGCGAATGTGTTTCCTCGAGTTTTTGTGTGGGTGTATGTTTGTGTGTTTGTTAATCGTTACGATCCCAATGAGTCGCGATTTTGCCTAATAAAACTTTTTCGCTTGTGCTTCGCTGCGGTTTCTGCAAGGAATAACTATTAGTTGGGGACCCTGGATTAATGAATCATAAATACTCACTTGAAGACGTTGTAGATAAAGACTAGCAGCAATTGCACAACAGTTACGCTTAGGAACAATGTGACTCCAACGCAATTGCCCGTGGGGCAGTTGGCCACTTGCGCTGCTCCCTGTGGCGCTCCCAATCTGCAAGGTAAGAAAATAAAGAAAAACATTATTATCGATGAAATAAGGCATAATATTCGGAAACAGAAATATGAATAGCATATTATTTTCAAAACATCTTGGTCTAACCATCTTTGGAACATCTAAGACTAGACATAAAACTCTTCACATACCTTTTCGGTAATGATCCTAACATCAAACTTAACCGTTTCACCAAAATTTGTTTTTTCAATAATGCATCTCCTCATCTGCATTGACCTCTTTATAAATGTTTTTTTTTTAAATATAGGTTATTCTGTTTCTGTTTATTTTTTTATATTAGTACCGTGATGGGCTAGCGAAACGGTTTTAAATATCAAATAAATATTTAATCTAATCTAATATCTCTAAATCCAAAGTTTAAGTGACCTATTGTATACGATTTAAAAAGTTAAGATTCGCTAATCATCAACAAATGCTATGAATATATCACAATCAGTTAAACAATATTTAAATATTCCCGATGTTAGATCTAAATCTATTCTCTATTAAATAAAATGCCGACAACGGGTTTTAGAAATCAAGACTTGATCTTAAGCGTATTCCTCACCTCTGGCCCACATGCGTGATGCCTTGCTTGACCTGGTTCATGCCATCGCGCATCTCGGCGATTAGCGTTTGCACATCGTAGCCGGTGGATTGGATTTGTGCTGTGGGCGCGTGCTTCTGATTCGTTTGAATGTTATCAGTGCGCACATTGATATCGCCCACTAGTTGACGTATCTCGCGGATGGAGCTGAGCAGCATGTTCTGATTGGTGAGCAGAAGATCGACATCGGTCCTGCTTACGGCGCCAACGGGCAGCTGTTGCTGTGGCACTCCGCCGACGGCTGGCGGAGGCAGAGCCTGTCCGGCATTGCGCGAGACCAGCGACAACGTGGTCTCCTGGCGGCCAATGATCTCATCCACCTTGCGGGACAGCTCACGCAGATGGTCGGCAATCTGGCTCTGACCCTGCCAGATCTGACGCAGCTCACGCTGGTTCTCCGACTCGTAGAACTCCTCCCAATCCTCTTCGTCTTTGTGCTGTGGGATTACGCAAAAGTTGATTATCAGTTTTACAGATAAGCTACCCGCTGCGTGGCACTTACCTCGTCGGGATGCTCCTTCTTGTACTCCTGCTTTTGCTTCTCCAGCTTGTCCTGGTACTCCTTGTACTCCTGCGTGAGCTTCTCCTGGTTCTCCGCCTTGAGCTGATCTTGCGCCTGTCCGGCGGCATGCAGTGAGGTGGTCAGGAAGTGGAAAACATCGTGGTCATCGGCCAGACCGCCCGTGGCGGCCGAGATGCCAAAGTATCCGTTCTTGGGCAGGTTCACACCATCCGCCCGCAGACACAGCTCGTAGTCATCGTTGTTGTTGGTCATTCCATTGTGGATGAGCACGGTGAGCACATTGTTGTAGTACTCGATGCGCGCCCGCGTGGGGAATGGCTTGTTGCGGAAATCGCGGAGGCAACCGCTCAGAAGCTGGGTGGTTCCATCGTTGGCATGGTCATAGAGCTTAGTGCCATCGTTAAGCACCGCACTGATGTAGGGATTGTTGTGCTTGTTGTCGTTGTCGAAGGAGTCGAACATGATGGCCAGACCGTTCCAGCGGTCGGAGGATCCAAAGACCGGCCCATTGTAGTCGCCCTTCTCCGTGGTGTACCAGAAGGCCAGACCATCGGCTCCGATTCGACCACGTCCCGTCACCCGGAACACGATCTCCACGTCCCACCAGTCGAAGTTCGTCTGCGATTTCGTCCAGATGGCACCCTTCTGGGAGCGCAGCGATGGCGCCACGCGCACACTTTCCGAACTGGCGATGGCATCTGCAATGGGGAGCAACAAGTTGTGGCTATAGAAACACCCGGGGAATCGTGCTCAAATCAAAAATGAAATCCAAACAAAGTGCCTGCGTGTACACTTGGCCGCCTCGCGCCATCTCGCTCGCACCAACGGCGGCCGAGCGGCAGCGAGTGGGCCAAAACAACTGACGTGGAGCTGCGTCCCCCACCCGTACTCACTTCCCCCGTACTCCCAGAACGGCACGGTCCCATCTTTCTGGGCCAGGTACGGCGGCTTGAACGAGTATTTGTACTCGAAGCGACGGTGCACGCCCACGGCGCCTGGACTCAGGTTGCCGGTGGCCTCGGAGCAGGAGTTCCACGCCAGGAAGCACAAAATGGCCAGGAAAGTGGGCCGCATTTTGCAGTTATATGTTGACAATAGAGATGCAAGAAATTCGATATCACCATCGATGGGATCGATGTTTTTTATAATCGTAAGCAAACGTAGTCGGTAAACGTAATCAAACGTAAGTGTCAAAAAAAGAAAGAGAGAGAATATGTATTTTTTGATAGAGATGGTAGCTGCAGTAAAGACGTAAGCAAACGTCAGTATACGTAAGCAAACAAGAACTGGGACGGTGTCCTCGCTAACTTATCAATATCCCCCAAGCCCGCCCAATTCAAATGCTCTTGCTATCAGTTTTCTTTATGAAGTTGAGGTGGAAAAACATTTATTTTGAAAATTTACAGTGTTTACGTTCCGTTACAAAACAAACAGAAATGTAGCAAAATACACGCCATTCGCATGTGCTGATGCACACCTTCACGACTTACATACAAACATGTTTATCAATACAATATAATTATTGTAAAATTATTTCGTTAGTTGTTTCAATTGCCTTTTGCGTGATATCACCAAAGTAGTACTACATCCATCTCTCCGAAATTCCTTTAGCACAGTGTCTAAGTATATATGTTTACTTCTTTATTCTTTGTTTTTGGTTTCCCGTTTGTAGTTTTCGTAGAGCTTACAACTAGAATTAATATAGGTTTTACTGCCTCGGTAGCACATACTGTGGGCTTTATAAAATATTGTTAGTTGCTCAGTTTAAGTGATAGCTTCGTGTGCAGATCGGTGTGTGTGGGATAGTCATTAAGGGCGATCGTGCCGCAAGTCGCACCATTTTACAAATGTTAGTTACTCATTTTGAATCACAATCACTTTCGTGTTAGTTGTGTGCGCCATAAAAAATAACTAAAACTAAAACTCGAGTAAGAACAAAATGAAATGGGTGGTTTTTTTCTTGGTTTATTACAAAATCATAATTAAACAAAGGCGCTACGGGGTAGCGGAAGTGTAAATTATGCATGAGCGTGCAATTTAATAATCTTTTCAATTTATTACAAATACGATAATAAATTATGCTTAAATGGGTTTTGTGTGTTTCCTAAAGTGGAAATTATAGGCGATCAAGTCGTTAAGTACTGTCAGAAATCATAACAGTGGACATCTCTTAATTCTGGGTTTAGAATGTTAAACTCGCATAAAGTAAACGTGCGCACCCTAGACTACAAAATACAAAAACTATATGTATGTATACATATTCTAGAATATATATATATCGTAATTGTTATGTTCTTTTTCAGTGTATAAGATCAGTTATCAGAGGATTTCGGGATCCAGATCCAATCCGTTTTCTGTTATTTGCTTCTCTCGCTTTAGAGCTTTCTTCTTTCAATTGGTTTCTTCTAAATTCAAGATCACTTTATAACCTAGGCAATTTCAAGACATCTTACATTTAATCGGGTGTGAAATCGATTCGAACGCAGTTCAAAAGCAAAATTAGGAACGAAAATAAAACAAGTTTGCTGAATCGCGTCTCTTGTGTGGGTGTGTGGCTTGTGTGTTTCATAAACTGGATAACAAATGCGTTTGATAAGCGCCAACCGGCTGTGTCTGTGGTGTTGGTGTTCTCTTTGTGTAACTCTGTGGACTAAGGTAAACAACAATCTAATCAAATTATACAAAAAATAATAATTCAAGAGGTCCTATTGGCCTGGCGGAAAAATGCAGTCAATACACAAGATTCGCTGCAATTCACATAATACGCTACAAGATTCGCTGCGGTTGGTTACAATTTCAGTTATGTGATTAATGCACACGCTTATGAGATGTGGCCCCCGCCGTGCCAAACACGCTCATTAGATCGCCCTCGTAAAGGGCAATCACTAGCATTATCCCCACTCCGCTCAGCATGCCGAGTATCTGCAGCAGGAACTGGCCCAGTGATTTGTGCGAGGCCGATATCTCGGGCATCTGTAAATAGTAAAACCATAAATAAGTAAATATATTATATGGCATAAATCCTATAGATAACTCACCATATCGACCAGGGCAATGTAGATAAACAGACCCGCCGCCACTGCAAACATCCACTGGGCCATATCCTGCGACTGGCCAAAGGCAATGCCGAAGATCATGCCGATGAAACTCAGGACTCCCGTCAACAGGTTGTAGTAGACGGCCGACTTCACCGACATGCCCGCCTTCATCAGGATGGCAAAGTCCCCGAGCTCGTGCGGCAATTCGTGGCAGAAGACGGCCAGCGAGGTGGAGAAACCGCCGGCAATATTCTCCGCAAAGGCTGCACCGATGGCCATGCCATCCGTGAAATTGTGCAGTCCGTCGCCCATAATGATCATCCAGGCCACGGCGCTCAGCGTTTCCGGCGGCGAATGGACGTGTCCGTGGCGATGACTGTGACCGTGATGCGAGGACTCGTGCTCCCGCAGGATCACAGTCACATGATCGTTCCGGACGTCCTTATCCTTCGCACTGTTCGAGGCATACACCGCATTGCCGTCCAGATCGGTCACAATGGTGTTGTTGTCCTGGCCCTCATGACTCTGCTGGTGGCTGTTGTGCTTGTGGTTGTGATTATGATGATTATGGTGATTCATCTCCACACAGTTCGTGTGCAGCGTTGACAGCAGGGACTCGGCAGCGGCGGCCATGTCGCTGGAGCCATCATGATCGCCCACACCGTTGCGTATCTCCGAGGCGGAAGCAGCATCCCCACCAGCGCCCGCCGCCGAGTTCACTCCATCGCCGGGCAGGTGCATCCACTCGCTCTGCTTGTTGTTCATGGTGATCTCATCGTAGCAATACGGATACGAGCTGTACTTCTGCTTGCAGATCTTGTCGCCGGCCACAGAGTTGTTCACCGACGAATCCGGATCCCGCATCACCTTCGCCCGCGACGGTTTCTTCGTCTCCTTCTTCTCCACGCTCTTGCGCCACTCGGAGATCATGGTCAGCGCATGCTCGGTCACGTAAAAGAAGATGATGCCACCCAGGCAGCCCAGCCCCTTCATGATCATGCCCCTTTCGTCCTGCCCTGCCAGAGACTATCAAAAGGGGAATTATACATTAGTCACGGTACTGGGCAAATTTATCAGCTCTACTCACATGAGGCAGCAAGTGCAGCAGGGCATCGCCGGTCATCGTTCCAACGGCCAGCGACACCAGATACTGGATGATGTATTTGTAATACCGCGAGTTCATGAACGGTATGATGGCTACTCCCACCAGACCAAGGATACCGCAGGCAAACACAGAAATGAAGGCGTAGACCCACACTATAAAAGAAGATACATATGAGTATGGAATAAGGTAGCACAACGTCTTTTTACACACCATAGAATATATCCTTGTCCTTCTCCTCTTCCAGCAGCTTTTCCGTGCTGTCGATGTCGGACAGGATTGCCGGCTCTATGCAGCCGCCACTTTGAGCTTTCAGCTCGTACAGCAGAATCGGACATAGATGTAGTAAGTCCTTTTCACTTAGCGTAAAGTTCTGGGAATCCTCGCTGTGACTAATGAGCTGGGGTGCGCAAACCACGCTGGAGTTGGTGCCATTCTGGCTGAGCGTGCAGTTGCTCAGCTGCAGATTACTATGCTCCTCATCCTCGTCATGGTCGTGGTGATAATTGTGGGGCTGGACATGATGCACTAGGAGACTGGTGGGCACGCACTAAGATGTTAATAAGAGTTAGTCAAGCGTAAAAGCAAAAATTAAGCTCGATGTACTTACAGTTCCTTCACTTGCCCCACTGGCCAACGAGTGGAGGCTGAGCTGCTGGAGCAGGCCATCGAATCCGCTGCTGTTCATCAGCTCGTTCTGGACCATCAGCTTCTCGAGATAGTACTGGGTGATCTGCGGGACACGGGACTCGATGCTGTGGCTGTGGCCGTGGTCGGCATGGCGCTTTTGTCTTCTCGATGGCGGGCTGGTGCTGTAGTTGGGGGTGTCGTCGTCGCCAGAAGCGGATCGCTGCTGTCGCCGATCGGTGGTTTCACTGGAGGGACTCAGGTTCGTATAGACGCGGGCGTTGAGCTGCTCCTGGCTGTGGGTCATTACCAGCGCCGGGCCGAGTAGACTCTCGATGTGATCCTGGCAGTGCAGGCGGTGTGCACAGAGTAGGCACACCACGCAAACGGCCATTATGTGACGAGCCATTTTGAGGCTCTACTACTTGCTACTACTTTGTCTTCCACTACTCCTAGGACTAATGCTGATGACTCTGACTCTCGTTTCGGTTTACTGCCCAGCACGATCTGCCACAATCATTATATATCCGGCGATCAGTCAGTCGTCAATTGGCGCGCTTATTTCGATCTGGAATGGAATGGAAAAGTCAGCAAGAGATTAGCCAAAAACGAAAAGCAAGTACAGGCAGCTGCAAACCAACACACAGTTCTATTTGATTAAAAATCGTTTATGGGGCTCTACTGTCAGCCCCTTGTTAACATCCCACACTCATTAGGCCAGAACCGATCCGAAACGATCGCAGGCACTTACAAAAGCCATTTGCCCATTGCATAACCAAAATAGTCAGCCAACCAAAGCGGAAGTTCAAGATCGTTCGTTGGTGGATCGACACCTCCAAATATGGGATAGCGACTGGTTTCAAGTGCCCCCAAGATCGCCATAAATGGGGTGGGTTTCGCTGCATTCGCTGTTTGTGATAAACAAAAAGTTCTGCTGGTTTTGGCAATAGGGATATAGATCACTTCATTATATTAAGCATATGCCTTCTCAGCTCAGTTAGCTTTTGCGGTTTTCGGTATATGGATATGTAAAACTTTGAAATAGATTCAGTGCAGCTTACAAATTCCAAGTAAATTATTTATGTTCCAGCTTTTTTAGAGCAAAAAACCCATTTGAAGGGTGTCAAATGTTTTTATCACCATTACCAAATACACATATAATAAATAATATTAGTTTATCTTGAGTACATATCTTTATAAATTTGCACATCATCACTTCTAATCATTCGAGTTTTGAAGGGCTCCAGCTTTTATCAGTTTTATAAATTAACATTCCTACTTCTTATCAAAGCACGAGCTTTTCAAATCACAATCTCATACTTCTTGGATTATTTTTACTTTTCAATGTCAACATACAATTTCTTGATTTCTTAACTACTTTTGTGTAATTCTTGGGTTACAAAAAGCAATCGTAAAAGTTACACAACTATATTAACAAATTTTGGCCTATTAGCCAACTGGTTTTCAGCTCCTAGTCGGGAGCCAAATTGTTGGATGCCATGCGGCTTCTTCGATGAGCAAACTACGAGTGGCACGCGCCAAAAAAGAAAATCGCCAGGCGGGACTTGAAATTTTCTACCCACTACCCCCACTAACTAAAAATTAGTTTGTTATTGTAGTAGGCTATATCAACTTGTTGTTGTTGTTGTGGTGGTGGTACTCAGACAATTTTGCAATTGCGCATTAATGCCACAACTTGGGTACTTAGTTTTAGTTCAACGGTCCTGCATTGAAATCCAATTTATTGATAAAACTTTGGCGAAAATTTACGACACAGGTGAGAGAGATACACGTGGGTGGCGCGCGCTGTTTATCGACTTAATAAAAGCGAAAGCCCAAACACTATGGGTAATAATAGAAACGTCATTGTTGTTGCATAAAGTGTGGCTGGCTGTTGGCGTCAAGGTCGCAGGAAGTGGGTGGCAGGGCGGATGGGCGGCATCCGCGGCATTGACAAGGACACACGTCGCCTTGGCAAGGGGTTAAGTGTTAAAGGTTGAGGCTGAAGTTCGCACTTGTTGAGGAAATTAACTGCCAAACGGCCAAAGAAAGTTCGCAAGCAATCACCGCCATGCAGAAACTTAATTTCAGGGCAATAAAAATCAATCAACGAAGCAAATTATTTTGCATACAAATTCCCCAAATAAGATCAGACACAATTCATCGGCAATATTCCCAATCAATCCCGCAAACTCAGTCAATTGGTCAAGTGACTGACTGACTGTTTCGTTTGTGTTTCGGTTTTTCACTATATCATTTTTGTAATCAAGCCTCATTTAAATTCTGTTCGCGTGATTTTAATGAAACCACTGGGAGAAAAATGTTAAAACGATCTCGTTTTTATGATGCCTTCAATGCTATATAGGTACATATATATATGTATCAATTCAATTCACTTTCTTTTGTCCCACATTGATAATAAATTTATTGAAAATTTATTTAAAAATAACTTGGATGGTATTCGTACCGAATAGAACTCTTTGGGGAACACCGAACCGAACCAAAACGATTTGGGATCCGAACCACCGACGAGCTTTGCAAACGCTTTGGAACTGAGCGGCGCGCGTCGCTTGCGGTTCGATTTATAAGCCAGTTTCATTGCCGGCTTGAGTGAGTATGGGTATATAATATACTATATGTGAATGACTGGGAACCACATTAAAGCATACCCACATCGAAGGCGTGCTAACTTGGCGGGGCGTGGCTGATTTCGGACCATGGCTAACAGCGAAGAGAACGTTAGAACCACACGAATGCACTTGAAGTTTGCTTGATGAACCAAGAGGATTCATAAATTTTTACTAATAATTCATTAAAATGTCAATTAAGTAGATCACAAACTATATTTTCGTAGTAGATTTAAAATTACTTCAAAATATTCCCATTTTTCAGATCTCAAAAACATTTATTTTCCATTATTTAAATGACTTGTATTCTTGTTTCGATTATAATATAATATAAAGATTCCATATTAAATTTGCCTATTTTTGATTAGCAACTCTAAAGAAATTAATGTTCATGGGGTTTTAAGAAGCAGCTGTGTATAAACAATAAACCTACGAAACTAAATAAACAAATAATAGGTAACTAATCCCAAATAAAAGGTGAGAATATGGAGTATGTCAATAGCTTAAATATAGAGCTTTTAAGTTTATATTTGTTTGTATTTTTAATAACTTGATTGATTGATTGATACATTCGACTTCTTTAATAAATCATGACCGTTGTTTAATTTGAACTTTTTGGTCGACCGTATCAAGCGTTCACTGTACATTCATTTTCCTATTCCCTTTTCTTGAACATTTACTTTTTGCTGACTCAATTTTAGTTCGCATAACATCTCCATGTTGAAAAATATACGCGTCGGTTTATTCCGAGGTCTCGTGGTAATAATTTAGTTGAAGTCACTGAACTTGCTGCTGACTCAATTAAATACATATGTGCATCGAATTTGGCATGATATCTTCAATAGTGCAGACAAAATCAGCTTAAATTTTGCATACCCCCTTAAAGAAATAAAAGGCGCAGTTTCTTAATGCTCACGCAAAGGCATTCAGTTCTTTGCTGAGTCAAGAAAAAGGTGTTTCGCATGATATCCAATTTCCCTAGACAGGAATTTAAAGACAACAAATATTTATTGTAAATACCAATCTTTTAAAAAGTCCTCCATGACTAAAATTTATAAGAGTGGGTATTTTTTAGCACATTTTAAAACGCATGCCGGAAACCGATTGCTGATTCAACACATTGAATTTTCAAATGAAATCTCCATTTCATGAGGTCCAGTTCCTTGGAACCCATTCACATAATGTTTAGTTCGCAAAATCAAATGACGGAACGTATGAAAGCCGAAATTTCAGAGGCGAACGTTTCCTGACTCACCAAAATATTTTTCGCATAAGATCTCCATGCTGAAAATTTATAGGGGAGGGTTTTATTTCGCAAATTGTGAAATTCTTACACACGCCAGAAACTGGTTGCTGAGTCAACACAATGAAATTTCACATGAGATCTCCATTGCATAAGGGCAAATTTTCTGGAACCCATTCCCCTTTATGTTGAGTTCGCAAAATCAAATTACGCTTGGGTCCCATAGAAGCTGAAATTAAACACACGATCGCTCAAAGTACAAACGATAAAAAAGGCCGCGTGTTGATGATTCACTTGATTGAAATAAAATTCACATGATATCTCCACGTTTAAAACAATGACAAGGGACTATTAAATACCACATTTTCGCTATACAACGACGCAAAAGCCTTTAAGCCTTGGGAACTAACTCGTAAAACTTCTCGCACGACTTATATCTTTATGTGCTAAGTGCTGACGCAATCTGCAGTTTGCTGGGCCTGAAATTTCAACCAGACATCCACACTTACACTTGAGATACGCTCTCTACCTGCCAAGGAATTTATCTTTTATCTTAACCTCTATACAAACTAATTTCATACCTGAAACTCCAGACGAATAACCTGCAAATGGTGTCTACCTAAGAACCCAAACACACACACGCAGTTGAGTATTATCTTTTTTTTTATTTTATACATTTTTCAGTGAGCCAGTAAATCGTGGGCCAAAGCTTGATGTAAAGTTTCAGTGGAATGTTTGTTTTGGAGATATGAAAAACCTCGGGCCATGTGATGGCCACCTGAAAACGAAGTTCTGGGCGGTTAGAAGCATTTAAACCCCGACTTTGCAGAGGTCGATCACGTCGGAATCGGTATGGAACGTTACGGATCCAAGCCGATTGGATCGATTCCGGACGGGACGAGGCTCTGACCTTGCCATGCTCGTCAACTGGTGAATTACGTGGTCTGGGGCTTTAATATTCAGCTAGTAAGGTAGTACAAACCACTGACACATAACTGATGTTGAAGGGCTGGCCATAAGCGATAAATAATTCATCTGGAGGCATCATTGAAATGATCGTAGTGAATTGTTTGTTTTCCGTATCGAGTGGGGTTGGCTGCCTCAGCTGACGGCGCCGGTTGCAAGACGGTGTTGAGTTGAAATTGCATATTTTCATTTGCAATATCAGTTTTGCAAATTGTGCTGGCTCATGAATAATTGATTCGCGGCGGCATGGAAAAGTTACCGGCCGATAAGGATTCTTCTGTTGCCCGTCAGCGGTATTATCTATGATTCATGCACCTCCTACACTTCTGAAAAAAACAAAAACTATGTGGACGGCAGCCAAAAGTGCGAAAGAAACACATGCTGATATATGGGTCAGTGGCGATAACAGTGGTGAATGCCAAAGGGGGTCTACGCATCCGGAATGGGTTCGAGAATATGTGAAATAATACCATTTCCCACTGAACAAACAGCCGATTGAAAGAGAGATAGTACAAATAGAGGTTGCGTAATTGTCGATGAAGAGGTGGGCAGATTTGCACGTGCTTACCAAAATTAAATATAAAGAGTATAATTTGTATTTCAAAATTTGTAGAGATACTAATGCAATGCTATGTATGTTAAGATCATCAAGTTCTTTATGGTGAATACAATTGCTATTTCTGGATCCATTGTGTTAATGTGAAAATGTCGAAACCCCTCGCGGAATACTACCCCTTCTAGAACATTTGGCAGCCACGCCACTGGCCGATATGCAGCATTATGTCCCGTTTGCTACTACTAATTCCCCTGATTTTGCGTAATTAGGCTCTGAAGATAGGGAATGGAAATGACATTCGGAATTAAGCTGAATTATGTATAGAACATGACTATAAGTATGTCGATCGAAAATAGCATAAAAACGTGCTGAATATCAGTGTAGTTACGTGTGCATCTGTGTATGCGGCCGTATACGTATACGTACATATGTAAGTGAGCGAGTGTCAAAATCACACGCACATGGAAATGTCCCGCTATAAATAAATGTGAGTGGGCGGTGGGTGGCAGGTAGGTGGAATGGGGGCCCGTCGCATGCACTTTCCATACTGAACTTCAAGTTCTACCAACTAGTAACTAAGATTAATCTGTATTTAATATAGCGACTGCAACTCACCCGTGAATTTGCTTTTGCCGGACTGTTTAGCACATTACACATACAAACACACACACACGTACAAACGGTTATATTTATCAATTCCTGAAGTTAATGCGGGATCGAAGATAATGCTGGACGATTCTGGGGCTCTAGCTTCTGTCGATGCGGTGGGCGTGAATTGGGGGCGGCGTCGAGATAACGCTGAACGTCAATTACGTAGCAATAATCTCGGAATCGAATCGAAATCGAGTTGAATCCGACCGGAGCGGCGAGATTTGCACGGGGGCGGAGTACGGGACACGGCCACCAACACCAACACGGGCTCAATTACGCAAGGGGCGGGCTAACTGTAAACATTTTCCGGACACGCTAAACATACGCCGCTGCCATCTCTCTTCCTCTTTCCAAAAAATCCGCAACTGTAACAATTTTTTTTTATAACAATTATCGATAGGCGGCAGAGTGACCGGCTGCGGCGCTCAAAATACTTTTCGGTATTTTTAATAACGCTAGTGATGGTAAAGTCCGCCGGCTCAAAAAGTTAGTATGACTAAGAATAAGGGTATTCAATTCATCTCTTTATCAGTAGAGTACAGTACTTTAGTTTCAGCAGTACGAAAAATTGACTTTTAAATGAAGTTAAAAAGTATTCATTTAGGTACTTTTGCCTTACCAATAATTTTAGTCATTAACTTATAATACAAAATTAAATCTTAGATTTTTCACATCTAAAAATTTAACAACTGGCCACAGTTGTTTGAAAATTCACCATTTAGGGTAGTTCCCTCAATCGATGATATTTTTTATTGCATTTTTAAGAATTGATCAATTTGGCTGGTTAGGGAATGCCCTAAATAATTTAAATAAGTAAATATTTGGTATTTTTCCTAATTACCCCACAACGGTCCTACAAGAGGTTGATAAGTGTGTAATCGAGTAATCGGAATTACTTTTCCGATAGCAGATAGCCCTGAACGGGGTTATACCATTATTTGCTCGGTCCCAGCGAAAGGGGACCGGACCCATCATGTAGCGGGAGTATTGTTCGTGGGCTCGAGTGCAGCTACCCAACTCCGCAATAGATGAGGTCTTTAATAAAAATAATATTAATAAATGAAAAGAATAATAATTTTAAAATGAAGAAATATTTAATAAATAAATTTTAAATAATTTCTTTTGGAGGACCGGGTACGCGTTCAAAAGACACTTTCCGGCAGATTGCGGATAACTTCCCGCCACTTTTCCTTTATGGCCTCCAGCGGTTCCATGTTGACCGCAGAGTGGTCGAACGCGCACTTCACTTTTTCGCGGACCGACACTATCTCGCGCTCTGCCTTCTCCAGACCGCAAGGCGACCCCCTGCAGGCGCGGTGGATCCGGTCGAGGAAGCGGTTGGCCGTCGGTTTCCGGTACGTGACCGTCAGAAGCTCCAGGACTGGTTGGGCGGGATCCAGTCGTCGGTGAAAGGTGGCGCAGATGTGGCTCCGATCGCTGATGGTGGAGGAACCGGAGCGCTATATTCATGGCGCACTCGTCCGTGACGAAGCACAGGAGGTTCCGCTTCACGCCCTCCGCCTCGAACAGCTCGATGAGCTCCACCGCCTTGGCCCGGACACCCAGCGGGACTTGTCCTCCTTGGCGGCCAGGAACAACAGGCTCCTGAAGTAGCTGGCGTGGACTTCGTTGATTGCCACGAAAAAGGGCGCGTTCCACTTATTGTTGTAGAACCTTATGAGGCGTTGTGCCTTATAAAGTAAAAACCCCTCGAACGCCGTCTTTTACTTGTAGTTTCCCCTATTTGCTTATTTCAGGGGACATCTATAAAAAATAATAAGTTAAGTTTAACATTGTATGATTAGCTTAATTTGTTAAATAAATAAAGTTTGAATGTAAAATAAAGATAAGAGACTTTTTCTAAATTTATTTAGCAAGGGATAAGAGATATTCGTAAGCTAAGTATTTAAAGAATATTTCATAAAATTAGGAATCCCTCCCAATATTGTAATTACTTACTAAAGGGACGAGCCTGGTTTATCAGTTAAAAAAAATCGTTTCTTTCTGGGATTTCTTTGCGGACGAAAGAAATATTCGATTGAAACGAAACTTTTAGGTTTTATTTTAATATATTTTAAGTCTTCTCAAAGTTTTTGAATTACAAATAAGTTATATTATGCCTGGTATGTATCCGAAACAAAAAACGCAAAAAATCAAATTTTTTTAGAATAAAAAACTATTTTTTTTTACCAATTGCATTTTAAATTGTTGAAAAAGTGCGTTAATAAATAATACCTCAAATTGATCAGGCGGGCGAGTATAATTGAAGGCTTGTCTTTAATTTGTTGAAAATGTTCTTTAACATAATTTCGTTTTTATATATTATGGCGCCAAGTGTCACAGCAATCTTTTTCAACCTAAATCCGTTATGTTTCTTGCACAAAACCAACCCTTTTTGGTTGGAAGAGAATTTTGTGATACTCCCGATTATGCCAAAATTCTGCTGGAACCTGCTTACATTTAACCCGAATTTTTTGGCAATTATTTTCTTAATATTTGTGTAAATATAGGCCTGTCCGCGAGGTTAACCGCGATTCCTATTAATACATATTAATAAACTTACGCGTTTGATTAACAGCGAAATGAAAAGTTTCCGCGCATAGGGAGTGATGCCACACTTTCAGCTTGCTTTTATCGAAGTATCGATAGAGGGTATCGATATAAGGTTAATGTGTTCCTAGTTACAATTTTGAAACAAATGAGATGCCAACAAAAAAACTGTCAGCTTTGCCGTTTGCCGTACCGCATTAGTTAAATTAATTTCCTTTCCAACGAGGTATCGTGCATATTGGTACAATATCTGTGAGGGGAGCAATAAACCAAATTGTGGGGATAGATATTTTCATTCTAAACAATTTTGCATTTAATATTTTTCGATTCGGCCCCAAGAAGCCGAGAAAATCAAAAAATAAAAATTGGCCCCATGTTCCAAATTCCCCCGTTCCACAATCGCCGCTAGGTCACCGACGCTAATTTGACGCACATTGATAAGTGATCGATGTGATCGAGTAACATTTCATTTTCTATCAAATTCCGATAGCTGCTCTTCTCAAAAAAACAAAACAGGTAGTTTTTTACCCATATTATTTTTGCCGAAATGAGCGAGACTCAGCATTTAACCACTGGTTCGTATTACTAACTATAAAACCAAGATTATTATTCAACGCAAGTCTCCCTCGCAGGTTCGAAAAAGCCTCTTTTCCCGGATGATGGGGTCTTGAAGTTGTACTCGATGCGCTTTTGCCCCTATGCACACCGTGTGCACCTGGTGCTGGACGCCAAGAACGTGCCCTATCACAGCATCTTTATCAATCTCCGCGAGAAACCCGAGTGGTTCCCGCAGGTAAGCAGCACCTCGAAAGTGCCTGCATTGGAGCTGGTCAAGGAACCGGGAAATCCCGTGCTGATCGAGTCGCTCATTATCTGCGACTACCTGGACGAGAAGTATCCGGAGGTGCCGCTGTACCCCAAGGATCCGTTGAAGAAGGCCCAGGAGAAGATCTTGATCGAGCGCTTCGGGCAGTTCATCACCGCCTTTTACCGGCTGGTGCTTCACGACAATCCCGACCAGCTGAGCGACACCGATCACTACGCCGGATTGGACATATACGAGGAGGAGCTGAAGCAGCGCGGAACCCAGTTTTTCGGTGGCTCCAACCCGGGAATGCTGGACTACATGATTTGGCCCTGGTGCGAACGTTTTGCCTCCTTAAAGTTCACCATTGGTGATAATTTCGAGTTGAATCCGGATCGCTTTGCCTCATTGGTGGGTGTGAATTGCATTCTAACAATGTTTCTGAAATAATCAAGGAATTCTTATTCCAGCTTAAGTGGCGCGACTTGATGCTCCAGGACCGTGCCGTCAAGTGTTTCTATCTGGATGGGCAGATCCATGCCAAATACATGAGTTCCCGTCGAGCGGGCAACGCCGACTACAATATGTTATAGTAAGTTTATGGAAACTTAATAATACACATCTGATTCATTCTTTTTCAGCAACGCAGCCAAGCGTGCTAAATTGGAGTAGGCATCGGGATAATGATTTACAGACCCCAGCATTTAGTGTACATATTATGGAGATTAATTTTAAATGTACATATACATGGCAGCATTATTGTGATTGAAGAATAAACACTGATTTAAACAGTTTAAAAATAGCGTTGTATTTAATGAAACTTGTTTAATTTTCTCAAGGTCATAAAAACCAGTTTCTCATTTTAAACATAAAATTTAGTAAATTGCAGTTTTAATAGATATACATTTTATGGTAATTTTTTGATTTTACCTGTTTTACGGTCATATATTCTATATTTCCAGCTAGCTTTATGTACTAAGTTCAAAAATTTTAAAGTTGACCGCGTAACAATCGCTAAACCTATTCGATAAACTCGTCCGTCCAGCGACTGCGACCACTATATAAGGTTCGACGAGTCTCCATTCAACGTCATTTGATTGAAACTACATTTTCTACCAACATTTCTCGCCTAAGGAATTACCTTAAAGTTCTTAAAAATATGGCCCTGCCGCAGAAGCACTTCAAGAAGGGTGAGTGGGGGCACATCAAGGTCAGCGGGATAGTGACGCGGCAATAAGCTGGCAATTGATTCCATCGTTTTATCTACCCCCCCGTCATGAGAGTCGTAAATTACCCGCAGATAGAGATTTAATTTTAGCCCAAGCATAATGGAAAACTTTCCCCTGACGTCACAAATCACCCATCAACAGGTTCCCCCAAACCGGAAATTCCCGAGGATGGAATCCTGCGTTACTACTCCATGAAATTCTGCCCGTACTCACAGCGTGCCGGTTTGGTTCTGGCCGCCAAGAAGATTCCCCATCATACGGTCTACATCGATCTCAGCGAGAAACCCGAATGGTACATCGACTACAGTCCTCTGGGCAAGGTGCCGGCCATCCAGTTGCCTCATCTGCCAGGACAGCCCGCTCTGGTGGAGTCCCTGGTCATTGCCGAGTACCTGGATGAGCAGTATCCCGGCGAGGGTTCCCTCTTCCCCAAGGATCCGCTGCAAAAGGCACTCGATAGGATCCTAATCGAACGCTTGGCACCCGCTGTCAGTGCTATTTACCCCGTGTTCTTTACGAAAGACCCTCCCGTCGATGCCATCAAGAACTTTGAGACCGCACTGGATGTCTTCGAGCAGGAGATTACCAAGCGGGGAACGCCCTACTTTGGAGGCGAGAAGATCGGCATTGTGGACTACATGATTTGGCCCTGGTTCGAGCGATTCCCTGCCCTCAAGTACTCCCTGGATGAGCCCTACGAATTGGACAAGACGCGCTATCAGAATCTGTTGAAGTGGCGCGATCTGGCGGCCCAGGATGAGGCTGTCAAGGCCACTGCTTTGGATGCCAGGATCCATGCCAAGTTCATGCGTACCCGCCACGAGGCAAAGCCCAACTACGATATCGCCTTCGAGCCTTTGTAAAGGATCCAAAAGCTGGCTGATATGTATACCCTGTAGAACAGGAATCAAGATACTTAAACAGATATTGTGAAACCGCTCAGCGGAAAGACATTAAATCCATATATGTACTCCACATCGAATCGATATCTTTTCATCTGCGACTGAGATTTGGGTTACTGCTCAACCCATTGCCAATAATTAACCTTTTGTTAAAATTATAGGTTCCTCTAAACCCGAGCTGCCCGAGGATGGATTTCTCCGTTACTTCTCCATGGCTTTCTGTCCCTTCAGCCATAGGGTTCATCTCCTCCTGGCCGCTAAGCAAATTCCTCATCACAAGATCTACGTAGATTTGATTGAGAAGCCGGAATGGTACAAGGATTACAGTCCACTGGGTAAAGTGCCCGCCCTGCAACTAACTGGGATTGAGGATGAACCTACTCTTGTGGAGTCCCTCATTATAGCGGAGTACTTGGACCAGCAATATCCTCAGCCACGTCTCTTTCCGACGGATCCGCTTCAGAAAGCGCTGGACAAGATTCTCATTGAACGCTTTGCTCCTGTGGTCAGTGCCATTTACCCAGTGCTGACTTGTAATCCCAATGCACCGGCAGATGCTATCGAAAAGTTTGAGAACTCCTTGGATGTTTTTGATGTGGAGCTGGCCAAAAGGGGAACCCCCTACTTTGCTGGCCAGACCATTGGAATCGTGGACTACATGATTTGGCCCTGGTTTGAACGTTTTCCCAGTATGAAAATCAATACGGAGCAAAAGTATGAGCTGGATGCCAAACGGTTTGAGAAGCTGGTATGTACAAGTATGATTACTTTAGGGGATCTCTAAATCTTATGTCCATTCTTTCAGCTCCAATGGCGCGAATTGGTAGCTCAGGATGCCTCTGTGCAAAAGACAGCTTTAGACGTCCAGCTGCATGCCGATTTCCAAAAGTCCAAGACCCTGGGCAATCCCCAGTACGATATAGCCTTCAGGGGCAAGCTCTAGAACGCAAACTGGTTGAGCCAAGATCAAATATTCGAAACCGGTTATGGACTGCCTGTATGTTTTATTCATTCCAAGCTAATAATTTAAATAAACCAATCGCATCAAGCATCCTTGACCAGCAGATTGTAGTTGGGCTGGCCCAAGCTGCGAGTGCGAAGGAACTCCGCTTGAACCTCTGCCTCCATGTAGAAGGCCATCACAGCCGGATCCCGCTTCATGCGCTCCAGCCAAGGAGTCTAAAAAAAACAAGTATATTAACTATGTACTATCTGGAAACCTGGAGATCAACTCACCAGCTGCGGAAATCGCTCCTCGTCATAGTTATAGTCCTTTCCGCGCTGCAACTTGAGAAGCTCGAGGCGCTCACACCACGGCCAGATCATGTAGTCCAAAATGCCCGTTTGCTCACCGCCAAAGAAATCTGTGCCGCGACGGCTGAGCTCCTTTTCGTAGGTGTCTAGGCCGCTCCAGAAGGGTTCCAGTTCGCCGCCATCGGAGGCCTTGAAGAAGGCACCCAGCACCGCTCCGAATCGCTCGATCAGAAGCTTATCCTGCACCTTCTTGAGGGGATCGCGTGGATACAGCGGCCTCAGGGGATACTGCTCATCCAGGTACTCGCAGATCAAAAGCGACTCCGTAAGCACAGGTGGTCCTGGTTCACGCACAATCTCCAGCGCCGGCACCTTGCCCTGCGGGTTCTTGTCCAGCAGCCACTCCGGCTTCTCTGTCAGATTGATGTAGATGCTGTGGTACGGGATCTGCTTGGCGTCCAGCACCAGATGCACGCGCTGGGCAAAGGGGCAGAAGCGCATGGAGTACAGCCGCAGGATACCATCCTCGGGCACATCCGGCGTGGGTGAGCCTGTGAGTGGCAGGACATGTTTTTATATTAATAAGAAAGGGATACCTGGTGTTGTGGATCTACCCACCTTTAGCCAAATGCCTGCCGTTGCTCATGATGTGCGTGCTCTGGTCTGGTCTGGAGATGCAAGTAATGACAGTGATTCCCATTTGAGGGGTATATAAAGTGCCGCTGGCTGCCCTTCGTCGGGTGGCTTTTCTTACGCGGTTGAACTTGGTGGTCGTCGCAACCTTTGAGGCTGACACACATATCCAACCTGTTGGATACAGTGAAACCTACTAAGAAAACGAAATATGTTCTAAGTACGCATCACTTAAACGCTGTCCGTTTCTGAAATCAAAATGATAGAAATGGACTTTAGCATAAAACTTCACTTCAGTAAATAAAGCAAAAAAGATATTGGAAATGGCATTTTTTGATGTCTCTTTACTCGAAAATATACATGACCGTGATAAGGGACGCATTACATCTTATCAATTTGACTATCAGCATACCAAAAGAACTTTACTTAAACATAATACTCGTAGAAAAGATTTTTAGCACTATCTGATTCTTTCTTGCTGAGTAAATCGTTTAAACCAATTTTCATAGAGTCCATGAACACACCTAATTATTAAAACTCAAAATGTGTTTAACTTTTTAATATATTTTATTTTATTTTGGACTTTTTTTTCTTAATTGTCTTTGTTTTTTTATCTTTTAAATAATTTGTTCTTATATTTTTTTTTAAAAGTTAAATCTCTTTTTTTAAAATTAATTGTAAGTACTGATCTAAGCCAGCAGATCGTAGTTGGGATTGCCGGCCTTGCGGGTCCGCCAGAACTCATTGTGCTGCTCAGGAGTGGCAATGAAGGACTTGACCACCGAATCCGCCTTCAGATCGGCAATCCACTTAGTAATCTTGGGGAAGCGCTTCTCGTCGAAGTTATACTCCTCAGGAAGCCTATACTCAATCACAGACAGGCGCTCGAACCAGGGCCAGATCATGTAGTCCACGAAACCGGGCTTGTCGCCGCCAAAGAAGGCGGTGCCCCGCTTGGTCAACTCCTTCTCAAAGATGTCCAGCGCCACCCAGTAATCCTCCAGACCAGTGCCCTCCAGCAGGATCTTCACGAAGGCATTGGTGATGCCGCTGAAGCGTTCCAGCAGGATCTTGTCCTGGGCCCGCTTCAAGGGATCCTTGGGCAGGAGCGGATACTCCGGGTACTTGTCATCTAAATACTCGGAGATTATCAGCGACTCGATAAGAGAGGGCTGATCCTTCTCCTCCACCACCTGCAGGGCAGGAACCTTTAGCAGCGGGCTGAAGTCCACTAGCCACTCAGGTTTCTCGGTGAGATTGATGTTCACCGTGTGGTAGGGCACATTCTTGGCATTAAGGACGAGATGGGCACGCTGGGCATAGGGACAGAACCTCATGGAGTACAGCCGAAGGAGTCCATCTTCCGGGAGCACAGGCTTGGGGGAGCCTAAAAATATTGATTTATCAGTGGAATTCCTAAAACAAATGCTGGAAAGCTTAACATAAAAAAGATGACCATGTCATTCTATTGATACGTAACTTATAGAGTTCTGAAAACCCCGTATCAAAGAAATAGCAAGTCATTGACTTAAAATTGATAGAACCAGACGTGAAGTGGCAAACAATGATACGTTATCTATTTGATGTGTAAATATTATATTATATACATATATTATTATTATAATGAATATTCCAAACATGCATTTTATAAGTGAAGTTCTGAAAAACATACGGTGGAAGGTTTTATTATTAATCTTGTTATGCATAAAAAAGTTGATCGTATCATTTTATTTATAAGTCACGTATCGAGTTATGAAATCCCCAAATCAAACGAATAGCAAGTCATTGACTAAAAGTTGATCGGGCCAGGCTAACAATGATAATACGTTATCTTTTTGAAGTGTAAATATTATGCGTGTTTTGATAAAGCGGTCAAAGTAAAAACTGATAATGTAGGGATCAATACATAAAAGTTGCATTAATTTATTTAATCATTTTATCAAGTTAAACAACTTTTTAAGTATTTGACTGATAAAAAAATGGAAAAATGTATTGATAACATATACAAAATTGTTTGTTTTATGCACTAATATCACGCTCTAAATAAATGATATAAAAGAACCTGATTCAGTATATAAAAAATTCAATTAAACTTTTTTTTTTACCAAAAAAATGGGCATTTTTCAGGTTTATATGAAGTATTATCGTGAAATGGTGGTTGTTTATACAGTCGATGGAATGTTGGAGAACTTGTTTTTGTTTGACTAAAGCTTCTCTCTTACCGTTGGTAACACGTCATTTTCTCTTACCTTTAGCGTAATGTTTAGAAGAACTCATTTTTTTTAGCAAAAATTTAAGTGCAGTAGAACCAAAATTCACTTAATTGTTGAAGTCAGCTCGACGTTGGATTCCAAACTGAAATTTCTCTTCGACGGCGCTCTGTATTTATACACCCGGCGAATAATCAAGTTCGAGCTTTTCGCAACATGACTCTTAGTTTTCTGGGTGCTCTTCGGTATCGCATTTAAAAACGATTTCTCATCGTAGACGTTTATTTCGATTTAAAACGCTTTACTACATTTTCCATTTGTTTGGGGAGGATACAGTCTTCCTCCTGCATTGTTTTTACATCTACTTAGTTTGTTAATAATCACGCCTGCTTGTAAATATATATATGTTATATTTTTACATGGTTTGGGGGAGTTTTTTAATTGAACTTCCAACTACTACACATACATTTAGAGATTTAAGTTCTTGAACTTTTCGCAAAAAGTTTCGATCGGCGGACTTTCAAAATAAAACTTAATCTATGTACAAAAAAGTTCTCGAAATGTCTATTGAAGCCTTATAAAAAATATAAAAAAGTACATATACAACAGAGTTGCTGACATCATAAAGCCGCGATAGCGTCATACAAAATAGTAGTTATCAGTTATTACATTCGAAAAATAAAATGTTTAAAGAAAATGGAAAGTAATATAGAATGATTATTAACTCTTTATCAAATGTCTCCACTGTCTTGGTCCTACGAATGGAATCTTTTCGGTCTAAGTCCTTATGACTTGCATAAAAAAGAAAGATTAATTTAAAGAATTCCTTTTGTCAATGTCCGCTGATAAAAAATTCCAATTATTCGTACATTTAAAATGATTAAACTGTATCGTTATCTTTTTCGTATCAATTGCGCGTTGTTGTTACATTTAATTACATGGGGAGTAAGTAGCTAAAACTAAGTAAATACGTACACTTAAAAAAATTCTACACACTTGAGTTAAATGTTGATTTTGCTTTCGTTTCCAAATTTCTTATTTTGTTTTTGTTTTGCATCGTTGCCTGACGATTCCGATTCTAAGTTTCGTTTACAGTTTCGTTAATTTTTTTTTTTGCGATTTTGTATTTTGTTTGTTGCTCTATAAAATATGCAAAACTGGTTGCATTTTGATCACGGTTCTTGCTGTTGCATTATACACATCCCTCTTTTTGATTTCTGGAACGACTTGAATTTATCGAACAAAATGTATGGTGTGTCTTGATGTTGCTGACGCAAATTCTTCAGCCTCCTTCATAGGTCGAATATTTTAGATGAAGCAATGGTGTTGTTTTGATGTTGACGTTTCTGCTCCAAGGATCCATGGGTGTACTTAGGCATTCGGTGTGGTCGATGGTCCGGGAGATGAGGATGTTGCTGCAGCTGCCACTGCATCGACGTTGCTCATCTTGAGCAGCATGAGGGACTGCGACGATCGAGTGGCGGTGGAACTGGGATACTTTGGCTGCATTTGGCTGGTGGACACTGTGGAAGAGCTGCTGGTCGCCGGCTGTTGCTGCTGGCTGCAAGTGAACAGAGTTCATCAGTGTGCTCTGGCTAGCCCTTAGGACACACACCCCTTCTGCTCGCCATCCTTTTTGCTGTTGAACATGGCCAACTCGATCTCCGTGTGCTGGCTGTTCATATGGCGCACCCACTCCGCAGGCGTATCGAAGGATCTATAAAGACAAGCGGGAAATATTAGAGATAATTCTGGACTTGGTGGGTATTTTGAAAAACTCTACTCACGTGGAGCACAAATCGCAGAGCAGGGTGACGTGATCGTGATCCATATTGTTTTCCTGTTGCTGCAAAAAAAATATATTCTAGATCTGCATGGGTAGTTGAATCTTAACAACTTACCGAAACTCGACGACGTTTCTTTGGCACATAGGTTTTGACTGTTCGCAGGGCGAGATTGCTGGAGGCGGTGGCAGTACTCCCACTGGCGCTGGATGGCAGGAGGTTCCTATCCGTACCGCCCGCCGGATCCCCGGCATGTGTGCCCAGGTGGCGGACCAACATCTTAGTGTCCTCGAAGGACTTTTGGCAGATCTCGCACACAAGCAGCTGCTTGAAATTATTGTAGTCACGCAGTGTGTGCTCCTCATTCTCCTCGGAGGGTGTACCTCGGTCCCTATTGACCTCCAGCTTGACGGCAGACATCTTAAAGTCCAGTGGCTGTTTGGGCGACACCAGTGGCCCCTCCTCCAGGTTGTTGTTGTTGGACACAGTGGAGGCATTTGGTGGGTTGTTGCTCCAGTCGGTCGGCTCTTGCTTGATGGTGAGGAAGTTGTGCGGATGTCGCAGTGTCGACGGATGTGATGGTTGCTGTGGTGGCGGTGGTGTGGCAGCCAGGCGGGATGGCACCACGTGCTCAAAGTGGGGAGGTTCATAGTAGTCACGAGCTGGTAGAGATTATAATAATTTATATATGAAACCATTAATTAGTTGGACTTTAATGTTATAGAAATCATTTTCTTGGAGTACAGCTATATACTCACATCTTTCGCAGGCACTCTCCCTCCTCAGGCGTCGCTCAAAGACCAGTCCCACCTCATTCCGCTCGCGAAGTGCCTGCTCCTCGTACTCCGTCCTCCGCAGCGTGGTCTCGGCCTGATCAGCACTTGGTCCGGCGGTCATGGGACAACTACTGCACCCCACCTCCGTGCAAATGGAAATGGGCTGGGATGGCGGAGCCCCCGATCCGCCAACTCCTCCACCCACGCCCCCGCCAGCGGTTGTCGTTGAGGTTGGTGGCGGTGGATGTGTGTGCGGTTCAACCTGCCCGGGAGCCGCAAAGCAACATTTGTCTTCCGGATCGATGGCCACCTCCTTGTTGACCGATATGCCCAGCTTGCTGCTGCTGGCCACGGTGAGGAGTCCTGTGTGGGCGGCCAATTTGGGCGATTTGATGATCACGGGCGAGTCCTTGGGCATCACCGAGACCCCAAGACCACGGAATTGCTGCTGCTGAGGAGGGTGGCCCAAGTGAGACGACAGGTGGGGGTGGTGGTGTTCCAGGCCGAATCGTGTGGATCCTCCTGGCTTGCTGGCGTAGATATCTCCCTGAAGTTGGGCCGACATGGTTGATGACGGGGGCGGCGGTGGAGGTGGTAAGGCGGATCGAGTGCCATTCGACATGTACATGGCGCTCGCCTCACGCGGATGCAGATGTCCGGCCAGCGGATGCGGGTGGTGCGATGTGGTCACAACGGAGCCGGAGCCACCGCCATTGGAAGAGCTGGTGCGGCACAGACCGCGGATCTTGAGGATCTCGCCGCCGCGCAGCACCTCGTTGAGGATGTCGTTGGAGACGGTGGCCTCGCCGCTGTACATGTACTGCACCAGTATCTGGATGGCCCGGTGGCTGAGATCCGGCGGCAGGACCACATAGAGCACTCCGTTGGGGTTCGTTATCGGTGCCGTTTCGAACATGGTGGCAAAGAACTGGGACGAAGCACTGAGGATGAACTTGTGGGCCGAGATGCCCACCGTGGGTATATCGGAAGGAATTCCGCTGCTGTTGTAGGAGCTGTACAGGACCACATCGGCGAACTTCTCGTTCCTAGATAGAAATTATAACAATAGAATTTGATTATAACTAGTGTACGATATTTATTTTATAATAAGTTATTGAAATTATGTTTAATTGAAACTCGAAATAAAGTAAACTTTTTTAGAAAAATTAACATTTTAATGTGCGCATTAAACCTTTTCTTTTGTTTTACAAAGCAGATTATTAAAGAAAAAAATCTAACTTTGTTAAAAGGTACTTGTTACTATTATTGTTTTTGTATGTATAACAAATGAAGCCATGCCTTCACAAATAAATTGATTAAAAATCTAATCATACTTTTCAATTTAAAAACAATTTATACATTTTTTAGGGATTCCAGCCATGATACTTACTTGTAGAGCGTGGCTATGGAAGAGTTCAGATAGGAGAGGTGCGAGTCCCACTTGAGGTGATAGTTTTCGGCGGCCATCTCTGCGGCCGACAGCGCCTGCAAGACGATAAAATCAATAAATAAATCAATAAATGCCGCCAGTCGAAAAGGTGGGCTTTTTGAATCTCGCGCCACCCCCAGTTGTGATGAAAAATAGTGGGTCGAACAACCCTGCTTTTGTAGTGGTATATTTATCAGCTAGACTAACGGTCATACTCCTCCGGATTATTTTGTTTATTTGTTTATAAAATATTGAAATGTCGGAGTTCGACACGCGGCTTATAGAATTGGTGAGGGCTAATCCCAAGCTTTATGAGCGGGAACTAAGGAGCACGCCCTATGAAGCCCATAAAAAGCGGAACTCGGAGATCTGGGGCAGCATTTCAACATCCTTGAATACCGATGGTAAAAACTTCGATTTCCTAAATAAATATTTATAAATTTGTATAACTTTTCAATTAGTTAATGCCTGTGTCAGTCGCTGGAACCATCTGGTGGCCAAGCAGAGTCGGGAGTTGGCCAAGGAAAAATCCGGAGGCACTGGCTCCGATTGGAGCCTCTTGCCGCATCTCAATTTTCTGCAACAGCATCACCATCCCATTAGTCATCGAAATTCGGGTGATTTGAGTCGAAACTCCCTGAAATCCATCGAGGAAGTCCACGACGAAGAGGATCCGCTACAGGAGGCCATGGATGAGCAGTTGGCCGTCGCGGGAGTAGCCCCGCCACCCACAAATCCTCATCCTGCTCCGCCCGCTGCGCCCGTTAGGGCAGAAAAGAGGATAGAGGCCCTGCTGGAAGGACTTGGAGAAGCAAACCGCATAAAGGCGGAGAAAAGGATTCTGGCCTACCTCTGCAAATGCAATCTGCGCGCCCTCAACGACGAACAAATCGATGATATAGTTATATAGAATGGGAAAGAATTTAGTCACAAAACATATCTAAAAAAACATAATACTCAAGTCTTTTTTTAATTTTTAGACTAAGAACATTTTTTCAACATTGAATTAAGATTTATTTAAATAATGCACGAATTTTATAAAGCAATAGTCATATTTTCTTGTAAATTTATTTAGTAATTCTCTTATGAAATGTTTCATACGCAATACGCAATATTATAAAACAAATTTAATCGTTAAATCAAGTTAAATATAAAGTTTAGGTCGCAACCACTTAGAAATGAAACAAAGAAAAATATGGTTATTTAAAAGGAAAGCTTAGAGCGATTCCTCAAATTATTAGAGCCAGTAAATTACACTAGTTTCCTTAGAACAAGTTAATATTAAAGTTCCAAAACTTTCCTTAGCCAAAAATTTTTGAAAATTTTATCAATAGCTGATTAGTTTAATAGTATGCTATATTAAAATTTCATTCCTGCGATTAATTTTTTGAGCATAGACCTTAAGAATTCGTTTGTATGTACCGAACTATTGCATTTTAAAATATAAAAACAATGTTTTGATCTCTAGAAAATAATGCTTTCTTCTATAAATGAGAATTTTAAATATCTATAATCTATTCTTATTGAGATATAGTGCAATTTATTACTTCTCACTACACCTGAGGAAATTACAACTTGAATTGTTAAATATAACAAAGAAGTGATTTTTAAAGCTCTCGACAAAGCATCAATTATTTAAATCCCAGTGAGGCAGAGATGTGTCTCGAAAGGTCATTTATAAACCAAGGATTCAGGGGATAATATAGTAATGCAAAAGGAAGCTATCTGTATGGTCTTTGGTTGGCGGGGCAGGTGGTAGGCGACGGAAAATCGAATTCAGCCACGCCAAAAAACTCCTACTATGACGCAGCTGCTGGGAGCTGGTCAAAGAGTCAAAGAGTGCGCGCGCAAGCAATAACATGTCCAATATCCATGTCTGGATCGGATCGGGGGGAAGCCCCCATCGAAGGGGAGCGACGACGCCAAAACAAGCATTTAGTTTATTAATTTGTGGACTCCCAAAGGGGGGGGCGGTGCTGGGCCGAAACAAAAACATAACGAGCGAGGAGCGTCGTGCACCCTTAACGACTGATGCCACTACCCCCTGGTATCCCCCTCCCCCCAACCCCCTTGTAAACCCCCGACGCACTAAACCACTATGTGAACTACTCCTACGGCCAGCCACCTTCCCATTCCCGGACCCTGCTCTTGGTATTAACACCGTATTATCGATTGATTTCAGCACAAGCACACAACAAAAATCAATAAGCTGGCAGAGCCAAAATAAAATATTGTACAGTTCTGTATCGTTCTAAGTTCAATGCTATCGACCGCTCTTTAATTATAAACAATTATTCCAATGCGAATAATACTTACGCCTAAATAATTTTGCGTTTTTCAAAATACGCGCCCAAAATGTTTAAATGCTACATTTAACTGGTAATTCACCTTGGCTCTCCTCCTGGTATCTATTTGGTTTAAATCCCTTCGCTGGATAAACAGGATCGAGTCCGGGGTTTTTTTTTGTTTTGGGGGGAACCGTAGATATTCGTTATTTGTTGTTAATTATTAAATTGTTATTGGTCTTCATTTAGAACGCTGGGGAAAACCGTGCGACTTGGACTTTTGAGCTGGGAAAACTGCGCAGCGCGTCGTTTCGAGCTTTCGCGTTGCTGGCCACCGAACGAATGGAATCGCAGTCAAAGGGACAGGACCAAAAGGACTCTCCTAGGCATTGATTGAGAGAGAGCGAGAGAGACTGGCAGAGAGGGTGCGAGGCACAGGATGCGAGAGAGCAGCCCTCGTCCTCACGTGCGCATTGTTATTGTTGTGGTTGCTTTGAAGTTGGATACGAAGCGCGCGTAAAATTGATTTCCCGAGCATATTGATTTTTGGTATCTCAGTTGGCCTGCACCTCCTGCACCACCTCCACCTCCTCCTTAGCCTCCTGTACCTCCTCTTCGGCTGCTTCCTTGCCCACCTCCATTGCCTCCTCCTCCTCTGCTACCACCAACTTTTCCTCCACTTCTTCCCTAGACATGGCCTCTTTTTCCAGCTGGGTTTGTGAGGCCGATGAAGTGTCCTGCTTCAAGAGTTCCCGCAGGAACATGGTGGCATATGCGGCCGTGGGCAGCGAGAATTCTAGCAATAGTGCCAGGAATTTGGCCTCAGCCTCTGCCGGTTCTGGTGTTATTGGAATGTTCTTCAACAGCTCCCAGTCGGAGGCAATCAGGGTGTCCTCTGGCGTGTTGTAGAACCTAAAGTTCCACTTGAGATCACTGGACGAAATGATCATCTTGCGGTAGGCCCCGGCCAAGGCATAGGTCTTCTCCTTGTGCTTGAGTTGATCCGAAGAGAGACCCACCTCGGCCAGCAGTTCCTCGTACCAGGCACCACACTCGTTGCTGGGATAGGTGATGTCGTGTCCCGGCAGGGGGAGTACCACATCGGAGAGTTTATATTTGCCGCTGGCGATGTCCTCTGCTGTTAGCGGGCGAACTTTCCGTTTGAAAACAGACTCCTCTTCGATGGTTTCGTCCTCTTCAACATGTTCTGGAGGATCTTCAGTATTCACCTCTTCCTTTTTCTCCTCCAAGTCTTCCGTCGGCTGCTCCTGCTCCGCAGCGACTTCTGACTGATCTTGCTCCACATAAACCAAATCACCGGGAATTAGTTTCAAACCAAACTCCTTGATTCTTCTAGAGGCAATCCTGTTGAAGACCAGGCTCTGGTAGGCATGTGGATATAGCATAAGCATGTTCCGTGGTATCTGCCGCAGAGCTGAAGAGTAATCCGATTCCCCAAATCTGGCCAAGCCGTCCAGCAGCTTCTTCTCAATGAATTTGTCGCCGTAGATTTTTGCAGCTGCCGCCACGGAGTCGCGGTTTTTCCACCACTCTTCGCGTATTGGACGCATAAACTCGACATCCGAGTCGCGTGGCTTCAGGATCAGTTCGCAGGCCAGTTTATAATCGCTCTTAAGAAGTGCCACACCCACTTCGTAGGTGGGCACGCTAGCACTGTTTCCAAATCTCTGCAGGCCATAGTAATTAATGAAGCCACGATCTCGCAGAGATTCCAGCGCCAGCTCTATCTCGCCACGTTTCTCCTTTGCTATGTGGCGCAGGGCGATACGGAAACGATTGCCTTGCAGATCGCCCAACTTGAGTGTATTCGACTGGAATCCAAAATTGCCTATCTGGACATTTCGCAGACAGCGAGCTGCATTCAAAATGCTCTCCGGCGTGCGGCGTTTGATGGAAAAATTCTGGGTGGTCTTGGCCCGCTTATCCTTGATGCCGCAGTAGTTGACCTGCGAGGGTCGCATGCTGTTTAAAATAACAGTGTTTTTAAAACTGTACTGGCTTTCTGTGGAATTTAACTTACTTCAGTCGCGAGGCTAGAGTTGAGGCCACATCACTGGTAACCAGATTGGTTTTGTGCACCAGGAAGGTCACATAATCGGCGGGAAAGCTCCAGCGATTGTCTCCTATAAAAATAAAATCATTAGAAAGGGTTTCTTCGGATAATCCTTACTACTAACCGCGTCCTGGCTTTGGCTTTATAATCCTTATGGTTTTCTTCTCCTCCGCCGGCACCTGGGGATCTTCCTGGGCTGATGTTTCATCCTTAGCTGGATCGTTCTCCTCCACGGATGGCTCTTCTTGTGGCTTTGGCTTTACCTGTTGCTGTCCAAGGGTGGTGGACAGTAGTTTACCCTTGTAAAGCTGCTTGATCAGCTGATGCACTTGTGTTCGCTGCTCCTTGTCCAGAGTAGTCACATCAATCTCCACCTTCTGATCTAATTTGGGATCGTTTTTGGCCTCGGCCAGATTGGCTATGTCCTGCCATACTTCCGGACCAATAACTGCCTTCAGTTCCTCCCGCCAGTTGTCCAGTTCTTTTTCGGCCACAGCTGGAATATTATGGGATAAATTAATTCCTTTAAGTCTGGAAAATAGTTGCTATCTATTACGAACCCACAATAGCCACCTTTGGAACACTTAGATCATTTAGTTCCAGTACTTTGCCGGAGCTATCAATCTCGTTTACATGAAAATCAGAAAAGCGGGACTTCAGAATGCCGGTGAAACCAGGTGCATCTGGATTAGTGAACTCCGTAATGCCCACTTGGTTCTCCCGCAACGTGGATTTCTGTTGTGGCGTAGATCTACCAACGAAAAAAGCCGGTTAACAATAAGATTATTTATAGGATAGTACAATTACCTGTTGCGCTGACCACCTCCATTGTTCTGGGGGCGATCCCTCTTTTGACCACGCCAGTTGCTTTTGTTGTACGGCCCGGAATGATGGTTCCTGCGCCCCCTGCCACGATCCTTGCCCATTTTAATTCAAAATTGCCGTTTAAAAAAGTTCTCGCCAAATGAAATCCACGTTTTGCGAAACATATGACGATGCCATTCACAATAAGCTTGAACGTTTTTTAGAGTGACCACAGTATTTAATTAAATTTAAAAAAGTAAATAAAAAATATTTTGTAATTAAAAATTATTATTGAATAGTTTAAATTTTAAATTTTAAGTTATTTTTAAATTAATTTTAATATTTGTAGTATATTTAACAGCACCACCATTCCTTAGTATTTTTTCCCGCCATCGATGGTACTGAAACGTTTACCAACACTAAGTCTCTTGAGTCATCTGGCAACGACGTAGACAGCCATTGAATAAGTGTTAATTTTGAGAAATAACCAAAAATAGGCAAAAATATTCATTCGCTAGGTATCCCAAGGAAGTAACGACATGTTGCCCCATTTGAGCGCCGACGAGGGACAGCCGTCCATGACGCGGAAGGTGTACATCAATCCCAATTTCCATCTGCAAGGTCAAACTGCGCATCAGCTGCCCTTTCAAGTGCCCTTCCAGGCGCCACCTCAGCCACAGCCCGCGATCCACATCAATCCGCACTTCTTGCAGCGCCAGCAGGCCATGTACGAGCAGTTCCAGCGGCAGCAGCAGGAACAGCTCCTGCTGCAACAGGTTTCCGCCTCCAATTACCTACAGAATCCTCCCTTGCCTGTGGCTCCTCCCCTTGCCACTCCCCCTCCCCCGCCCGCCAAGATCATCAGCAAGGCGAGCACGTGTCTGGTGCGTAAGGCTCCAGTGAAGGCCAAAGCTGCTCCGGTGAGGCCAACTCCTCCGCCGGCAGTGTCCACCCGTGTGCAGCCTCCATTGGTAAGCATATCCAAGCGAAAGATTGTGCGCCAAGGAGCTGTGAAGTCCACGACAGCGGCTTCTGCCCCACATCCTCCTCCACCTCAGCCGCCTGCCAAACGCACGAGGTACAAACTAGTGCGCTCCATATCGCTCACCTGTACGCCACTCGTCAAGAAGCGTCGTTCTCTGAAAGAGTTTGTGGGCCAGTACGCCCTGAGACGCACCAATGAAGCAGAGTTCAGCAAGAAATTGAGGTACGGTCTCGCCTATAATGGAAGAAGAATCTGACTGTGAACACTAAAGGCGACTCTGTTAGATGTATAAATGTATATTCCTATTTCACTAGTTGATCTTCCTTATATCCTTACAGCTCCAAGCCACAGGTGCTGAGGCTGGGCGTCAACAAGTCCCTCAGCATGGTCAGCATACACGGCGTGATGTACAAGAAGATATCGAAGAACAAAATAACCAAGCTGGACGCTAGTTCGGCAAGGGTAACGAAGGCCGCGAGCCCTAGGACCCTGAAGCGTTCCCTTTCCGGCAGAACACTATTCGTCAGCGGCAATAAGTTTATCCTAGATCCCTCGGGCTGCCGTCTCACCAGAGTTCCTCCCGCAGCAACTGCTGCTGCGGCTCCCCAGATAAGCGTGAACCGTAGCATCCTGCGACGCATCGACATCGGCGGTCTTACCTATGTGGCTTCACCCAAGACTCAGAATGTCTTCATACGCACCACTAATCACGTGTCGCGGGCCCACCTGATCACTGCCAGGCAGAGAAGTCTGACGCTGCTCAACAAGTCGTTGGTGAAGACTAATGTGCCTTGTGCCATCTTCCAGAAACTGGGCAAGTGCGCCGCCCATAGTCGCGGCAAGTGTCGCAAGCTGCACGACAAGCGGCAGGTCGCCATCTGTGTCAGGTTTGTCCCAGGCCAGCCGTTGAGTACTAAACCTTCGATGGCTTTCTAGATTCGAATTCCCCCATGCGGTTACCTCCTTGAAATCCTCTAATTTCAGCTTTCTGCGTGGCGAATGCACCAAGCCCGACTGCCTGCTGTCTCATAACGTGACCCTGGAGAAGATGCCCGTCTGTCGGTACTATTTGCGCGGCGTTTGCGTCCGAGAGGACTGCCCCTACCTGCACAAGAAGCTCAGCCGCAAGGCCGAGATCTGCATTGACTTTGTGCGCGGCTACTGTCCGCTGGCTGCCGAGGTATATTGGTCAACTGTTGCGGTGATAACCTATTAACTCTCTTGTTCTTTTAAGTGCAACAAGCGTCATGAGTTCGCATGCCCGGAATTGGAGCGCAAGGGCAAGTGCGAGTTGTCCAATTGTGTGTTCTGCAAGAAGCAGCCATCGAAGAGGTTGGTCATATCGCGGCCGAAAGCGGCCAGTAAACCTCGAGGCATCCCGGAGACACCGAAGGAGCCTGCCAAGGAGGATGATTTGCCCACCAGTTCACGGTATTTTGGGTGCCATAAAGAACCGACAGAAGTAATATTGCCAAAAGATGACGTGAGGAAGGAAGAGATCGAAGTGGAGAAAGAGGACCCAGCGGAGACGGGAGCCACTCGACTTGGCCGACGACCACAGCTGGGCACCCTGCCCTCTTTTATTCCCCTGGGCGGCGAAGAGGAATTGTAAAGCAATGTGAGACGACTTGGACCCAACGTTTCAGGTACAAATTAATTTGGTTAAGTATCATATTAGCGTTATTCTAAGATAAACTTTTAGTAGCTTACGTTCAATATTAAATAAAAAATAAAAACCAATATACTTGCGTTAAATTAAAGTGTACTTTCTTGGGATACTAGGTATTTATAGTATTATATTTAACTTACAATAATTACGGATTTTGTATTTGTAACGATCAACAAAATATGATTAATTTTGCGGCAACAGTTTTAAAAGACATGCAAGATGTGGAAAAACTAACGCACTGACTATACTTAACAATATCAGGAGTCCTGATTCAGGACATGCAATTTTGTTTCAGTGCATAAGATCATCTGGCAACCCTAATCGGTCTCTCACGTCTCTTGGTGTGACCAGATCACCTCGTTATAATGGGTTTTGTGGCGCCACATAGTTGTGTACCTGTTTTTTAAGCCGCTCTCCCGACTTGAACCTCGATTTTCTCGCCACAGTTGAATTTTGCATGCGGCTCGTACAACAACTAAACAAAAACGCGGACTCCGTTTCGAGCAACAACAAAAACGACCAGTGAGTGTGTGTGTGTGTGCTAGTGTGTGTAGCGGTTGCTTTTGCAAATTTGTTGCTGGCCAGGCCAACAAACAAAAAAAAATGAAACGGAAAGCCAGTGAAGTTACGAAAAAATGCGGGCCAAAAAGCTGAAAGATTTTCGGCAAAACGGCCTTTGAACTCGACCACTTTGACATCTGTTCGCGATCGGGAATTTTCGAATTTCTCTCTCTATCTCTCTTTCTGTTTCTCCTTTTTGCTCTCTTTCTGCGCTGGAAAGAAAACCAGGCCAAAAGCATTTTCCAGCCGATTTTTTCAATTGTGCACTTGTGGCTTTTGTACATTTTTTTCCGAAACGTTCTCGCTTTGGTGCATTCCTAAGTAAATGCTACTAATAACAAGAGAAACAAAAAGAAGAAGAAAAAAGGAAGGCAATCCGAAGATTGGCCAAAGAGATGAAAAAAGTTGCTTGACTTGTTTGACCCGCGTTTGTGTTTTTCCGTGCGTGTGTGTGAGTGCGACTTCACCTTCTTCATCTTATTCGGATTCTTGTTGTTGGCCAAGCCGTATTCTACATAAATTACTAACCAAAATGACACATAAGAGCCATAAAAATGAATTTTTAATTTATGCAAACACTCTTCATAACTCCTAAAATGTATCTAAAATCTTACAAAACAAATAACGGTCATACAGTTAAGCAAATTAATCAATCTCACTTTATAAATTAAGCAAAACCGTTCATTACTCATTATTATTGACCTATTATCCGGTTAATCGTTAGAAAATCGCCATCAAGTTTGCTCTAATTCCGTATAATTACCATTTGATGTGCCACATTTTCACCCATTAAATTAATTCAATGTAATTCTGCAGAACCTGTGTGATTAAACAAAGCGAGAAACAATAAAAAGAAAAGAAGAGAGTGGAGAACAAAATAAGGGGTTTCCAGTCCCAGTCTCCAGTCTCCAGCCGCATTCCATGGTGAGCATGAATCCCCATCAATTCCCAACGAAAGTCTTGACCGAAAATGCTTAAACTTAAAATTTATGTGACAATCGCATTAGGAATTCGAATCTCCAGCACGAAAATAATTATATTAGTTTTTATTTTCATTTAATAATTTGCATAATTGGGCCCTAGTTGGTGCGCTGTGGGGTTCCTTGGCGTTTTCCCCATCGCGGTGGGTCGTGCGGCCCGTGGAACGGTAATCGGGTTAACGGTGCTGTGCAGGGCAGGGGTTACTTGTAAATCGGACTCTGTTTTAATGATGTCAAGCTACATCGCAGCAGGATGGCACAAGATCTTTTAAATTAACAAGATTATTTAGAAAAGGTTTTATATAAATATAAGCAATGCTAATTTGTACTTGTTTTTCTTTGAAAATGATTCAAATTTAATCTTAAAATCATACCTAGATCAAACCAAAACCTTGAAATATACATATTTAATTATAAAATTGTTTTGTGATCTCAACACAATGTTCAAATGGATGAACAATGATTATCTCTAATGAGTATTTGCTAACAAATCAAAAGACTTAGGACACGAACTTTTTCAATTTGCTTTTTGTTCTTACGGCTTTTACAGTTAGTATGAAAAATTGTATAATATATTAAATTAAAAAAAGGATTATAAAATTATTTAAATTTGTTTATTATTTCTGGCTAACACTTTTATTAAAATGCATGATAGCATGCTTTTTTTTGTTATATTTCACCATGAGTTCAAAGTAAATCCATAAGATATAATCTTGTGTCGACCGTCGTCAGTAAAAACATTAAGATTTAACTTAAACTTTCTACCTTAATCATGAAGTGAAATATATATATATGTATCATATGAGTTCATTTAAATTAAAATGTAGTTTCCATATGAATTCTTTTTGAATTAACTCAAAAAAATACAATAGACTGAGGACACGAACTTGCGGTGGGTGGGTTGTGTCGCCCGCAGAACGGTAATGTGGCTAACGGTGCCGCTCGGCCGGGAAGGAAGAGGAAGAGCCGGCCACTTTCTAGTCGAACCCGCTGCGCTTTAGTCTAATGATGTCAATTACATCGTGCCACTCGCATTGCGGGCAACAAATGCATGCCGTGCTTATAAGGCAGCAACAATGCGGCCTGCCACAGAAACAACTGCAACTGCAACAGCAGCCACTTGGTTGCAACTGCAACAAGTGACTGCGACTTTGGCTTCATTAAAATTGCTATTCGTTTGGCCTGCCTGCATCTCTCTTCTTTCGTCCGCCTTGTTTCCTTTTTCTATTCAATGCTGTTTTCATGTTGTGGCGAACTGGGAAATATGTTTCCACCACTCGTATGTTTCTCGGCCAGCCAACAATTTTAATGAGTTTTTAAGAAATTGTACAAGATGCCAGTTACGGCTGCGAAAACCCAAAGCCTATCAAAAAACATAAACGCCTTTTGGCCGCAACACATCTCATGTTGTGTGATTAATTTTGTTGCCGATTTGTCCGTTAACAAGTGTCCAATGTGTGGAAAAAGACGCGGCCATTTAAAGGGGAAAGTGACAGCGATGAAAACCCTGGGAAATTCAATTGGGAACAGCTTTTAACAGAAGGAGGACAGGTATATAAAATATAAGCCAAATAGAGATTAAATCATAAAATGGCTTACTTTTGATTAGAAAAAACGTTGGGCTATAAAATGTGGACAAGAATATCTTTCTATCATATATTAAAATAGTAGTAAAGCAATCAAAGATCATAAGGTAATAAATAAAGTGGCTTAAAACTAGGAAGTGAATGCACATTAACTTTACAGATTAAAATAATTTAAGTACAAGACATATTTATGATCTTGATTATATTTTATTAGCTCGCTTTGGTTTATTATAAGTCCTTTCCTTACTACGCCCATATATTAATGCACAAAGGCATCCCACCAACTGCACTTAAGCTCAAAATGTAATAAACATAATAATTTATGACTCAATTTTCTGCACTGAGAACGCACCAAATATATGTTTCGGCTTTTTGGGCCAAAGAAAAGTTTTAAAAAAAAATCCAAACCAAAATCGTTACTGTCACGCCCACGTTTCATGCTCGGGGGCTTAATGGGACAGAATCTCTGGGATGGGGGAAGGACCAGGGCCTCTTTACGCCCAATTTGTCACACATTTCAACAGGTTACGAGATGGACGAATCGGAGGAGGGGTCTTCAGAACGGCGTTGGTGATAGAGGAGGGAGGCATTATCAAAAACCGACCGAAGAAGACGTTGACGATGACGATGAACGAGGTCTGGCAGGAGGCCCTTCTTAACTCGGATCACGAGTATATGGTACATATATATATATGGGTCTGGGTAGGCGTTGTATGGTGTGGTGTGTGGAATTTTCGGGCATACCTGGCGGGCCTCATGAAGCGTGAGGAATTCCCCCGATTACCTCCTCCTCACCCAGCGGTTCCTGATCGATTTCGTTCGGGCCTGGTGCCCAGTGCCTTGTTGTCCTTTCTAAGTGAAAAATTATGCAAAAATGTTTCACTTTAATAGCGGAAATCATTTATAGAAGTTGTAATAAAGTCTCAGCATGCCCGCCGCCTCTTCTGAAGCATCTGAACCATCGGTGGTCATGTTTTTTTTTTTGGTTAATGCAGACGAGTCCTCCTCCTTCATCCGTGTTGTTGTTGCCAAGTTGCCCAGGGCTGGGTTTTGTGCTCGTTAAACGACCGCCAACGTTGTAGCCAAATGCAACGTTGTTGCAACACTTTGTTACGGTGACAGTGGCTTGGCCAGCAGAAGGGGTTCCGGGGGTTGTGGGCCCCCCCCCCTCCCAAAGGAGTCTGAGTTAAGGCGACTTTAGTCAACGCTAATGACCTGACAAAAGCAATTCAAAGCGGTTCTCGTTGGTGGCTGGTGTGGCATTTGTTGACTTTTGGGTGCATATAAACTGGGAGAGTTCATTAGCTACAAAAAGAGACAAGAAACTACACACTATGCCTTATTTGGGGCAATAAAAAATGTGTTTCCCCAATCGCAAAACATGGTGTGTAGGGGGTAAGGATGCAAAAATGAGTTGGGAAAAAATGTGAAAAACTTGTTTAAACTGCAGAGCACTGACAACAACAAGCATTTTAACACTATGCATTTTATACTTATAATTTAGTGACTTTTGAGCTCATTACTATGCCTTTTAATCCGAATTTTTTATTAAGTGTCTTTTCTAAGATTTCGAAAAATGGGCTTGGATTAACGTTGACATGTTTTTTTCCTTGGGGTTCAAGGCTAAGAGTTTTGGAAACCAAAAAAGTTAGATGATATATTTCAGATTTCCAACTTCATTAACTAACAAACATCTGCGATAACTTTATTACCAACCAACTGAAAAAAAAATCAAAAGACTTAGGGCACGAACTTGCAGTTTCTCTCGCAAAAAGTTCGAGAAAAAAGCTTAATCAAAAGCGAACAATTCGCCGGGCATCATAATCTGCAGCTCACAAAAAAAATAAACCGAAACATTGGCCATAAAAAGCTGCGACCAAGTACAATTATAAAACCATTAAGGCATCTAAATTAGCTCATTTGCTATGAAACCGGGCATCATAATCGTTAAAAGCCGGCAAAAACTCGCAATCGCAGAAACGAATGATAATTGTGAAGGAGAAAAAATGCCGAGCAGTTGGGGGAAAATAAGAAAAACACAGCCAATAAAAGTAATAAAAGCGAACTGTTAAAAGTGCCGCCACACAGACGTTGGCCAATTGATAAGCGCTTTATGACAGCAGGCTGAATGCATTACGGTTTATGATTCCTTTTTTTAATGCCTATTGGCTGGCAATTTTCCCCGAGAAGCGCCAGTGAATTGAGAGCACAGCAGCGGTCATAAAAATATGGCAAAGCGAAGTCAAATTGCCGGTGGTCAGTGGTTGTATTGTGCACTCAATAAAATTTGACTCGGGGAAATACCCAAACCTCTCTCATTAGAATTCCGCGGCAGTTGCACTGATAATAATTCAGGGGAACGTACTGCTTTTCTTTTCTAGGGATAGGATCCCTCTATACTGACTGCGGTTTTCCTAGGCCCTGTCACTCAACTCAACTCATGTCACGGGGCCTAACATTTCAATTAAGGCCGTGTGTACCTATGGCTTCTGGCCAACAATGGAAGCCTATTAAAAGACACGCACTATTGCCACATGAGAATGGATCGAATCGCATCTCAGGGTCTGCAAATTTCCGCTTATGAAAAGCGCCTGCCTTAATTGATTTTGTGGATTTTAATTACAGCCTCTTGTGTTTGCTCTCTGCAACTTTCTCTATAGAAGGCGAGCCAATTAAATGATAACAAATTCGAAGGGAAGAGGCGGTTTTCAATTCCGATGCTGATGATAGACAGGCGCCGCTGGCAAGTGAATGGCGCAATCAGAATCTCGGCAACCCAGAGTCGACACCAAAAATGAAAAAAAAAACAAAACCCAAAGTGGCAACAGAATTCTCAGTCAAGTTGAGGCCACTGTGCGCAAAGTCTTGGCTTTCAAAAGGGGAAAGGGGAGGGGGTCTGGGGATCGCACAAATTTATGGCCACATTCAATTGTCAAGTTTATGTGACTGCGACTGAGGATCGGCCAATATTTGCATAAGAGGCGTCTCTGGCTTCCCTAGAAATCCCTGGCATTTGAAAGTCTCATTGTCAGGGGCTCTGGCTTATGTATTTCTTTTTGTATTATCCCTCTTTTCGAAACCGCTCTATAAATAAACACCATCTACTCTTCTTTTGTTTGCAGAAACAGAACCCAGAAATCAAAACAGAGAACTGAGAGCCCCCCTAATGATTTCTAGCTGGCACACAAATGACGAATTATGAGAACATTATAAATTTGCCATTAAACTTTAATGCAAATAATCACGCCAGTAATAATGAGAACAATGCCAAAATTGGCGAGCAGCTGCTGAATAAGATGTCGCAGCGGGATTTCTCCGAGGTAAGTCGAAAGGCGAAAGGAAATCGAATTATTGTTCAATTATTGTTTTGTAAGTCAAACCACCTACCCTCCCATTTCCCCTTTCCACCACCCAGAGAAAAAAACATGTTTGCCGACCGTGTATTTCCAGTTTGCAGCTCCAAACACCATGACAATTATTTATGGCCTTCAAATATATAAAACTTAATCAGGCATTACGCTCTCCAAAAATTTCAACAAAGAGATGAGGCAGAGATACACAAGTACATATATGAGAAAAAAAGCACATGAAAAAGAAATAAAACAATCAGGGGCAATAATCAAAATGATGGCAAAATGATTTCAATGTTGATTAACTCAGCGGCAAGACCACAAAAGGGCTTAACTACAAGGGCCAAATTAAACAAAAGCCCAGCCGAGCGGGGAGATAAAAATGCCGAAACCAAAACGCAAAACCTCATGGATTGCGAACGGAACTGGGATTGCGAATGGGAATAACCCCAGCTCCTGACCCTGACTCTGTGCCCGGCCCTTTCATCATATTCCGCGCTGTCATGTCAGGGGCAAGAACAAAAAAAGAGAGCCAACATCTTGAGGAACAGACGACAACGTCAACGATGTTGGATAAGTTTCAGTCCCTGTCTGCGCGACGTACCAGTCCAGAATTCGGAATCCCCGCACCAGGGAGTCAGGGAGTCAGAGTCGACCATCCAGATCCAGACCCCTGCGGCCTGTCTCGCCGACTGACTGACTGACTGACTGGCTGCCTGCCTTGCGAGTGTCCCTTTTGCCAGCTAGACGGACGATAGGAAGTGACCATTCCCATTCCCATTCCCCTTGCCATTCCAAGACCCAATCCCATTCCCCATCCCCATCCGCACTCCCCCAGATTCTGCGATCGGAGAAGCGTGGCCAGGAATTTCGGGTTGGTTGGGGGCTACAGCAGCTAAATGAGTGCATAAATTCCAGACTAATGTCGATTCCTATTAAAGCCTAAACACGGGCATCTTAAAAGTTTACTTTAAATGCAGTGTGATGAGTCAGAAAGATCCTGATTTTATTTTATTGACATAGGCTAGGCAGATCATTTATTATCCTTTTATGTAGTATAATAAAAAGCCTTTTTATGACCTTAGTTAAGAAAATAAGACTTAAACTAATGTTATCTATATCCCTTTATAAATAAACAAAATAGTTATAAGATTACAGTGATAGAAAAAAGGGCAATAGAAATAAGAAATTTTTGAAAGTTACAAAATAAATACCCAAAAGGATAGAAAGTGTTTAGTATAGTTTAGTACTTACTCAGGGATTTAATAGGTTTTTTTATTAGTGCATACTTTTAAAAATGTTATACTAAGAAATTTTACATTTTTTAGAGCATCTAAGTTATAACAAAATTAGGAAAAAACATCTCCTGATGCTCCTAAAATTTGTAAAGATATATATTAACGATATATTTTTTACAAAGTTAAAGAAAACTAAAGTTCCTGATGATCTACGTATATATAGTCTATGGCGTTCAAGATAATGTCTTTTTTTAAGTAAGGTTAAATAGGTTATAGGTAATTTTTCAATTGTCTTTTAACCTGAAAATAAATAAATACATTTTATTTAAGTATTTGAAAAAAGGTAGTACATAATACCGATCGAGTTCGATGTTGGCTTATAAAATGCAGAGTATAATGCCTGTATTTAATTTCTTAGAGGTTAACTTCCTGCCTACGCTGCAATGGAATAACCAGGGATTATCCGCCCAGAATGTGCGATTTTTGGGGAAAGAGGCGCAGGAGGAGTGGTAGTAGGGGGAGGACCTCAGCCCGCAGCTAATTATTTTATTACGCGTTAAATTGCAACAAAATTCTCGAGTTGAGCGCAAAACATGCCAGTGTGCGCCACAAGCAATCGTGAAATTGTTCGCATTCCAATGCGGCGGACTTTATCGATGCTCCAGCCTCTGGGGCTAGCACTCACACAGATACAAACAGATATATGCTATACGTATAGAAACCAACTTGGCTAACACATACCAGCCCGTTTTGGTTCCAGGCAGCCGCCCGAGTGCATCTATGGGTGCCACTTTTTGTCTTACTGAGCGCTTATTTTTTCTTTCTTATATTTTTCCCCTTTTTTTTTTGCTCTTGCTGCTGGGCGGACAGCCAAGAAACCAACGACCAGTTCTCGAATCGCAGGTTTTTCTCTTACATTCCTGAATTCCAACGCCGACTTCCTTTCTCTACCCGCTTTTTCTCCCTTTCCCATTGCATAAAATTCTTGTCCGTCTTTGACTATTTTCTAAAATGCTGCTGTTGGTTTGCTGATGTTGCTGTTGGGTTGTTGCTGCTGCTGCTGTTGCTGTTGGCCATGTTGCTGCTGCAACTGCAACTGCTGCTGCTGCTGCCAATTTAGCTGGAATTGGCGAAGCGAGATGGCTGGCCTATCAATTTACATGACTTCTCTATGTGCCATTTGGGCGCCAATTCCTGAATTGACATACAGCACGGCGCAACAAAAACGGAGCGAAAGGGCAGCGAATGCAGAAAAAGATCCACTGAAATTCCTACCCTCTGGAGAAGAAAGAAAGGCAGTTAATTAGCCGATGCACATAAAGAGAAGTGCTTGTTACTAATCCTCAGATTATCCACTAAAAGAAATAAAAATGCCGCAAGCTATGAGAGAGTCTTTATAGAATGAAAAGAGTTAATAAAAGCGGTAGTCAACTATTTAAAAGAAATTAAACTAATAAGAGTTACTATTTTTATAGGCATTCTTTTATGAATCTTTAGTTAATCTAGAAAGATATAAAATGCTTTAAGCTATGTGCTTTAAAGCTATGTGCTTTAAAACTATAGCTTTAAATACTCCATTTAATCTTTAAAAATATAGAAATCTTAGGCTTGGGAAGTTAGAATAACCTACCTCTCCTGTACTTCAAAGTAACGTCTTTAATCTGTCATCACTGGATCACGTTATTCCTATTCAGCATTCCCACAGCTTGGGCTTATCCTAAGTCATCGACATTCCGTCTCAAGTTCCCCCTAACTGCTATTATTATTACTATTATTTTGGTTAAGGTGATAACATCTGCTAATGCCATTCCGTCGGGATTCTCAGAGCCCGCTCTCTTCCGCCGGAGATCTTCGTTGGCCATTTGGAGGGCATGTTCCCCTGTGCGTGTTTATTTAACTTTGACCATTGGCAGCAGCCCCGCAATCTTGTCTGCAAGATCTACTCGGCTAGCACCGCCAACGCTCCGAAGATGAGGAGTCCAGGTTCTTTTTGTTACCCTTGTAGGGGGTATTATTAATTTTACCAAAAGCATGCAACACACAAAAGAAAAACACTAAAAAATATTTAGGTAATATATATGGCTGAAAATTGGTAAACTGCATATAAATTTATCACACATAAGGATCACCGTTTTTCCAGGTTAAATATTTTATTCAAAACTTTTTTATAAAGCAAACGTATTCATTAAATAAGTTCCATAAATATTTCAATATAACCTTATCTTTTAACAATCATTTTTCAAAGCTAGGTAACATAAGTAATTAATCTATACAACAATGGACATGGAAATATGTTTTCATTGTTTTAGGAACATATTTTTTTTAATATTTTATAATAGGCAAGTGTATTTTAAAATTCGTTTCCCGAACCCATATTTTTTTCTGTGTTTTTTTTGGTAACGCCCTCTTCATTTGGGGCTTATCGCTGGGGCCAAGTCCGTTACCGGCTTTTATAAGCTGCATAAAACGAAAATTGCGTTCTGCATCTGTCAGATACTTTGTAGCTGGCTGATTTATTCGGAGCTGTGGCTGGGAGTTCGGCCGGCAGGCAAATCTAGCTGGATCATGAGCACTTGCTGGCCACGTTTGCTATCCTATATCTATCCCATATCAAGGACTGGCCAACTGGGACTCGGTCGCCGTTTCGGCGATGCTGCTGCCTAATGCATTTGCATACTCATTGCATTTAATTGCTTCAAAAAATATGTAAAAATTTCCACGTCGTTGTCACGGTCTCGTCTCGTCTCGTGGCCGTGACCATGGCCATCGGTTTCGGTGGCCTATGCCAAAAAAGGCCTCAACTCTAGCTACCACCAGGCTACTGATTCACCACCAACAGTCGTGGCTCAGTTCGGTTCTTGGGCCACGAATTCGTGGAATTGCTTCCGCATTTGATGGCCAGGCCGGCGAACAGGATCGGGAGCTGTGAGATGTGAGCTGTGCGAGCTGTGAACAGCAGTTGGCCGGGAAACGTGACTCGGTGGCCGCATACCTACCTATGTATACCTGTGTTCCGAGGGCAGGCGACTTGGCCGCCAAGCTGGTGCGTCGGCATTTAACATAATTACAACCCAGTGACGACTGCACAGTGGGTCACTCGTAGCTCGGCAGGAGTTCCAAGGGATAAGCCATTAAATCAGGGTCGTTGTAGAATTAACAGTAAAGAAAGGGTTCCTAAAGGTGTTACTAACAAATTTTTTTAATATCTCATCAAGGAAGACAACGGACAGTCTATTAAATAAATGGTTTTATCACTTTTTCAAGAAGGCAAAAAGTACACTCGAGTTTGTTTTTCGAGATAAAGAGATAACAAAGTAATAACGAAATTCATTTAGTAATATAAAGCCATTCAAAATTATTATTTTTTAAATCCATTTAAGAATTTGCCTGATCAAACCCTTAAATCAAGTATCCGAAAAGCATTGTTTTTTTTTGTGCACAAAATTGCAATGTAGCCCACTGTTCTTCCCAATAACAGCGGCAGATGTGCAATCATCCAGACTCTTCCCTCAATTCTGCAAATCCTCTCCTGCCACTCCTTTCTCCGCCTGCTCCTCCACATTGTACAGTTGTGTTTATTGCTCTACTTAGGCCATCGCATTGTGGAATGCTCTTCATCCCAGTAATTTGGCCCCTAATCAATGCTAACTCTGCACAGGGGAAAAATATCATTTGAAGTTATCATATGATATTTGTAATATAAATTAACAAATTAAATATAATCACCAAAAATAATATTATATTATTATAATATTATAATTTATTTATTTTTAATCCCCTTTTCCTTATTTTTCCCCCGTAGAATGAGCCGGAATGCACGCCGGAGTTGCCCGCAGCGAACCGCGCCCTTTTCCTGGAGAAGGTGCGTCAGTCGAACGCCGCCTGCCAGAGTGGTGACTTCGCCACGGCGGTGCTGCTCTACACGGATGCACTGCAGCTGGATCCGGGCAACCACATCCTGTACAGTAATCGATCGGCGGCATTGCTGAAACAAGGACAATTTGCAGCCGCCTTGCAGGATGCCACGCAGGCGAGGGACTTGTGTCCCAAGTGGCCAAAGGCGTACTTCCGCCAGGGCGTGGCGCTCCAGTGTCTCGGACGTTATGGCGAGGCTCTGGCCTCCTTCGCCTCCGGTTTGGCCCAGGAACCGACCAACAAGCAGCTGATGGGCGGCCTGGTGGAGGCCTCTTTGAAGAGTCCACTACGAGTGGCCCTGGAGCCCACGTTGCAGCAGCTGCGCACCATGCAGCTGCAGGAGTCGCCGTTTGTGGTCAGCTCGGTGGTGGGGCAGGAGCTCCTCCAGGCCTCCCAGTATCCTGCGGCTGTGTCCGTCCTGGAGGCTGCCCTCCGCATCGGCAGTTGCTCCCTTAAGTTGAGGGGTTCCGTCTTCAGCGCCCTGAGTTCCGCCCACTGGGCTCTAAATCAATTGGATCAGGCAATTGGCTATATGCAGCAGGATCTGGCAGTGGCCAAATCCCTGGGCGACACGGCTGGTGAGTGTCGGGCACACGGCAACCTGGGTTCCGCCTACTTCAGCCAGGGAGCCCACAAGGAGGCACTAACGGCGCATCGCTATCAATTGGTTTTGGCCATGAAGTGCAAGGATACGCAGGCGGCAGCGGCGGCATTGACATCACTGGGTCACGTTTACACGGCTAGCGGGGATTACCCCAATGCCCTGGCCTCCCACAAGCAGTGTGTGCAGCTGTTCAAGCAACTGGGAGATCGATTGCAAGAGGCTCGGGAGATTGGCAATGTGGGTGCGGTGTACTTGGCCCTTGGAGAGTGTGAAGCTGCCTTAGATTGCCATTCGCAGCACCTGAGATTGGCCCGCAAGCTGCACGACCAGGTGGAGGAGGCCAGGGCGTACTCTAATCTGGGTTCTGCCCACCATCAGCGGCGACAGTTCACTCAGGCGGCTGCCTGCCATGAGCAGGTGCTCCGGATTGCCCAGGCTCTGGGGGATCGGTCCATGGAGGCGGCCGCCTATGCGGGATTGGGTCATGCGGCGCGTTGTGCTGGCGACGCCAGTGCCTCAAAGAGATTCCATGAGCGTCAGTTGGCCATGGCCCTTGCAGCAAGGGATAAACTGGGAGAGGGCAGGGCGTGCTCCAATCTGGGCATTGTCTACCAGATGCTAGGCTCCCACGATGCGGCGTTGAAGCTGCACCAGGCGCATTTGGGGATTGCCCGCTCCCTGGGCGACCGGACGGGCATGGGCAAGGCCTATGGGAACATGGCCAGGATGGCGCACATGGCGGGGAACTATGAGGCGGCGGTGAAGTACCACAAACAGGAATTGGCCATCAATCAGGCGGTGCACGATCGCAGTGCTGAGGCAGCTACGCATGGGAATCTTGCGGTGGCCTATCAGGCTCTGGGTGCCCATGATGCGGCCCTCACCCACTATCGGGCTCATCTGGCTACTGCCAGATCCCTGAAAGACACCGCCGGCGAGGCGTGTGCCCTGCTTAACCTGGGAAACTGCCTCAGCGGGAGGCAGGAGTACGAGGAGGCGGTGCCACACTACGAGAGCTACCTGATGCTCGCCCAGGAACTGGGTGACGTGGCTGCCGAAGGGAAGGCATGCCATCTGCTCGGCTACGCCCACTTCTCGCTTGGCAACTATCGGGCGGCGGTAAGGTACTATGACCAGGATTTGGCCCTGGCCAAGGACGCCCAGCATCGTCCGAACATGGGAAGGGCCTACTGCAATCTGGGTCTAGCCCATCTTGCCCTGGGACACACAGCCGCCGCCTTGGAGTGCCAGCAGCTGTTTCTAGCGGTGGCCCATGCCACCAACCAACTGCCGGCGAAGTTCAGGGCCCTGGGAAACATCGGAGATATTCTTATCCGCACGGGATCACATGAGGTAAATTGCAATTTTCACTATCTATTTAACATTATTCAATTGTAAAATTTATGGACCCAAAAAAATTTGTTGTGTATATTTAAATAACAAATAAAATCTCTATAAAATTTTAATCTCCAGGAGGCCATCAAGCTGTTTCAACGCCAATTAGCATTAGCCAGAGCTGCTGGAGATCGTTCGATGGAGGCGGCGGCCTGTGGTGCCCTGGGAATGGCTCATCGGCTGATGCGACGCTGGGACAAGGCACTGGGTCATCACACTCAGGAGTTGACGCTTCGCCAGGAGCTGGGTGACCTATCCGGCGAATGTCGTGCTCATGGACATTTGGGAGCTGTGCACATGGCCCTCTGCAGCTGGACAAACGCCGTCAAGTGCTACCAGGAGCAATTGGAGAGGGCACAGGAGCAACGGGATGCTGCAGTGGAAGCCCAGGCACATGGCAATCTGGGCATTGCTCGTCTGAATATGGCTCACTATGAGGCGGCCATTGGCTGCCTGGAGGCTCAGTTGGGCACCCTGGAGCGAGTGTCCCTGCCATCCACTCAGGCGGATCGTGCTCGAGCCCTGGGACATTTGGGAGATTGCTATGCCGCTCTGGGAGATTACGAGGAGGCGTTGAAGTGTCATGAGCGGCAGCTTCAGCTAGCACTTGGTTTGACAAGCCACCGGGATCAGGAGCGCGCCTATCGAGGATTGGGTCAAGCTAGAAGGGCACTGGGACAACTGCCGGCTGCTTTGGTGTGCCTGGAGAAACGGCTGGTGGTGGCACACGAGCTGCACAGTCCAGAGATCAAGGCACTGGCCTACGGAGATCTTGGACACGTCCATGCCGCTTTGGGGAATCATACCCAGGCTTTGAACTGCCTGGAACATCAGCGTGAGCTAGCACAGGGCCTTCAGGATCGAGCTCTGGAATCAGATGCCATGTGTGCCTTGGGACAGGTGCAACAGCGAATGGGTCACCACTCGGAGGCACTAGACCTGCACCGGCAGGATCTGCAGATCTGCACGGAACTCTCTGCGCCCGCCCTGCAGGCCAGGGCCTTGAGCAATCTGGGATCAGTCCACGAATCTCTGGGCCAGCAGGCAGAAGCCCTCAAGTGCTATGAACGGCAATTGGAGTTGAGCTCTGATCGCTTGGCCAAGGCGATGGCGTGTTTGGCCCTGGGCAGGGTTCACCATCAGCTGGAGCAGCATGGTCAGGCGGTGGACTATCTGCGGCAAGGATTGGCCAGTGCACAGTCCATGGGAAAGTCAGAGGAGGAGGCCAAGATAAGACATCAATTAGGTGAGTGGATAATAGCTGATTTAGTTTGGAGATTTAGTGATATTTTGATATTTAATGTTTTACAAATTATTTTTTTTATAATTCAAAGTCTACTTATAAGCATTTTAAGTTGGTGATCCATTTTTAACCCTGTTCCTCAATCCTCTTTTAGGTCTTGCCCTTCGCTCCTCTGGCGATGACGAAGGAGCCCACCTCCAACTGGAAACCGCCGCTCAGCTGCTGGAATCCGTGCGCCATGAACAGCGAAGTCCGGAGACGCGACAGGCACTCTATGATCTGCAGACGAGCTGCTACCATCTGCTCCAACTGCTCCTGGTGGCACTGAATCGCAACGAGGATGCTTTAGTGGCCGCCGAGCGTTGCAAGGCTCGTGGAGGAGCCGATGCCGTGAGCGGGGAGAGCTCCAAGGTTCCATTGGCCAACAGTGAGGCCATCCAGGAGACGGTGAACCGGGGAAGGATGCCCGTACTGTACTACAGCTTGGCTGGGGAGCAACTGTTTGCCTGGTTGTTGCAACCACAAACCGGAATCGTGCGATTCCATGCCGCCAAGATAGATGCCCACAGCTTGCAGCTCCCACTATCCCTCAGCGAGGAGGAGGAGGAACTGGAAATGCAAAGGGAATTGGGATTGGACAGGGAACGCGATCAGGGAGAAGACCAAGCGCAAGCCAATGGTTTACTGGAACGTTATGTGAACTTAGTAAGAGATAATCTGGGTGTAAACTCTCAGAGTCTCCTTCACGAAGGCGATGGTAGTGGATGGCGAGCCAGCACGGAGCAGCTGCTGGAAGATCTGCCTGGAGCTGGAGGATCTGGTGGAGGAGGATTTCTGCGCATGGTGAGCCGCAATCAGCTGCTTAACTCCTCGAACTATTCCCTGAGTTCCCTTTTCTCGGTGGGATCGGTGGGTGGCTCAGTGGCCAGTCTGCAGGGTTCCACACGATCAGTGGGAAGTCGTAGCTCCCGGCGAGCTCCAGCCCTGCCTGCCTGGCGAGGACCATCCTGTCTCCACACCTTGTACAATCTGCTACTAGCTCCATTTGATGATCTACTGCCTGCTGGAGGAGCAAATGCCAGCAGACAGGGCAGAAGGGAACTTATCCTGGTACTGGACAGCTCGCTGTACTTGGTACCCTTTGCCATTCTGCGGGCAGCTCGAGAGGATGGGGAGTATCTGTCCGAGCGATGTGCCATTCTCACCGCTCCCTCACTGCAATCTCTACGCAGTCGTCCAAAAACCAGAAGGGATCGAGCTCGTCCGCCCAAAGCGCTGGTGGTGGGAGGACCACGTATTCCGTCTGCCCTCGCCGAACGCTGGGGTTGGGCTGGAGCAGAATCACCGGCAGCCTTGCAAGAGGCCGCGATGGTGGCAGATATGCTACAGGCCACCAACCTGGCCGGTTCCAACGCCACCAAAGAGTCGGTTTTGGCGGAACTTCCGTCCGCCGATTGTGTCCACTTTGCGGCCAATCTCAGCTGGCAATCGGGTGCTGTGGTCTTGAGTCCCGGCGATGTGGTCACGGCTGAGCAGCAGGAGCAGCAAGAGGAACCACATGAGCCTCAAATGGCGGACTTCACCCTGGCAGCCGCGGAATTACGCCAGTTGAGACTTAGTGCCCGTCTGGTGGTGATGAGCTCGTATCATTCGGTGGAACCCATCACTGGTGCCGGAGTGGCTCAACTGGCAGGCGGTTGGCTTCTGGCCGGAGCTGGAGCTGTGCTTATTTCCCTATGGCCCGTTCCGGAAACGGCGGCCAAGATTCTCTTACGCGCCTTCTACTCCGCCTTGTTGCAGGGTGCCCGAGCAGCCCGGTAAGTAGTCACTAATGTACCTTAAAAATTATCCCTTTTAAATCCATGTTTTATCATCACTTTTAGCGCCTTGGCGGAAGCCATGCAAACGGTGCAGCACACAAAGCACTTTGCCCATCCGGCCAACTGGGCTGGTTTCCTTCTGGTGGGCAGCAATGTCAGGCTGTCGAACAAGGTGGCCATGGGCCATGCCCTCTGCGAACTACTCCGGACTCCAGAGCGCTGTCGGGATGCACTGCGAGTCTGCCTGCACCTGGTGGAGAAGAGTCTGCAGCGGATTCACCGCGGCCAGAAGAACGCCATGTACACCACCCAGCAGAGCATCGAGAACAAGGCTGGTCCGGTGGCCGGTTGGAAGGATCTGCTGATGGCTGTGGGCTTCCGTTTCGAACCAGCCGCCAATGGAATCCCGTCCAGCGTGTTCTTCCCCCAAGCGGATCCCGAGGAGCGACTGTCCCACTGCTCGGCTAGTCTCCAAGCTCTTCTCGCCCTGACACCGGCTACTCTGCAGGCTCTGGCCAAGTTGGTGCACGTAAATAGTGCCGAGTATGCGGAGGACATCATTGCCGTGATGCGCAATATTCTGGCCCAGTTCCCGGTCTCAAATGCGCCAATCACCGGCTCCAGTTCAAGTTCTATAAAAACGGAAGTGATCGCCGAGACTTGCTTCATCGAGATGCCGTTGAGTGTGAGACTCTGGAGGGTAGCTGGTTGCCATGAACTGCTGGCTTCCGTTGGCTTCGACCTGACGGAGGTGGGTGCTGACCAGGTGGTCCTGCGCACTGGAAAACAGGCCAATCGCCGTCAATGCCAGTTTGTGCTTCAGGCACTTCTCGCCTTGTTTGGTAAGTGATTTTATTTAATGTTTAGTAATTGATATAGATAATCATTTTGCTCGCCCTCTCTAGACACCCGTGAGGCGCCCAAGAACGTGGGAATGGGTCCAGACTCTGACCACAGCAGCAGCTGTGAGTCCTTGGCAGAGCCGGAAATGGATGCACCACCACTTCCGCCGGCGGCCAGCAGCACTCCCTCAGTGAACGGCGGTAATAAGGCTCCACTACCGCTGCACCCACGCAGTGCCTTCATCTCATATGTCCGACGTCGTGGAGAGCCGGACGGCGGACGAACCGAAGCCATCGGTGGAGCAGGAAGTGCTTTAAATGGCACCTTGGATTCCAGTTTGGCCAACACCACCGATAGCGAGCATTCCCTGTCCGATGGCTATGCTACGCAGGGGGGCTTTGGCCTGTCCAATCCTCGACTGGGCTATGCCAGCATGCGTGCTCCGGTTAGGGTATCCAGACCCGGAGGCGGTGGTGAGAGTGATGCCGCCTTTACGCCCAGTCCACCAGTGACCGATCCCAGTTTGTCACTGGCATTGGCCCACCAGACGCGCATTAGGAGTCTATACTCCCAGACTAGTTCGGCTGCAACAGCTCCGCCGGCAGCGACAACCATGAGTAGGAGACCGGATAGTTCCAGTTCGGCCAGCAGCACGACGGATTGGGAGGGATCCGGACATGCCACGGTCCTGAGACGCGGAGTAAGTGCAGCAATGCCCCAACAGCAGCCACCTCTGCCACCACCAAGACCACCAACCTTCCACAATTTGGGCGTGGGTCCAGGAGGACGTAGCAAGCCCAAGATCAAGCTGGGAAGTGCGCAGAGCTCTCTAGCCGCTCGCGTTAACAAGGAACATGCCCTCTTCATGGACAGGTTGAGTGTAAGGACGGAATTGAGCACACCTGGAGGAGGTAACTCCATGAACGGCGGATCTGCCGCTAGAAAACCCCTCGCCCTGCCCGAGGAGGAGGAGGTCTCCAGTGTGGTCTTCAGTCCATCCAGCTTGTACTTCTCGCAATCGGACGCCGATTTGCTCAACGAAACCAAGCAGGAGGAGGCTCCGCCGTCTTCGAAGTCGAGTGCCAAGAGCCTGCAGGACAGCATGATGCGTCACATGAACCGCGAACTGACACCCAGCATATCGGAGATGTATCACGAACGTAATCTGAATTTGGGAATGGCTCCGCCGCTGTCCAAGCTGCTGTTGAGTCCCAACTATGAGGAACAGGAGGTGGTCTCCATTTCAGAGGGCTGTCCACCATCAGCTGCTGGCCTCAAAACTCTGGTGGATGCTGTAAGCGAGTTAGAACTGAGTGGCAGCTCATCCGGAGCCACCATGCCCACGGTAGTGGGTGGTGGGGGAAATGAAGTGGAGGTATCCACGGCCACTATAGTAGAAGCCACCTGCCCCATTTGCGGTGATCCCGCCGACGTCATCTGTCGCTGCAAGGCAGCCACCATTCAGAAGAAGAGCATCCTCAAGCCCTGGCTTAGTAATGTACCGGATAGCAGCTTGGTGCAGGCCAGCGAACTGACCACAGCGGATATCTTGGAGCGTCGTCTGGAGATTCACTCGACCAGCTCAGCAGCTCCCTACTCCGTTGATCTTTGTCGACGCGATGAGGGCGATGGACGATCTGTGGCGGATTCTCAGTGCAGCAGCAACTACAAACGAGTGCTGGCGAACGCTACCGGAGGAGCAGTTAGCCTGGTGGGAATCGCAAATGGAAACGAAGTAGAAAAGCAGATGGCCACTTCGGTGGCAACCTGTTCATCTGCCCGCCTTGTCTAGACCTATTTTATCCCTAGATTCCCTTAATTTATTATTGCATGTATTTATTGTTTTCATAGTCCTCAAAAAACTCATTTTACTGATAACTTATCTTCATAACCAAGCCACTGATTAAAATTTATTCAATTATGTATGTAAGTTTTTAATAAGATTCCCCTAAGATAATAGATTTTGTAGAATATGACTTAGCAAAAATAAATTGTTATAATAAATATTTAAAAAAGTAAATGTCGTTTTATTAAGTCAAATCTGATTAGCAATTTAAACCTGATCTGTTGTCTGGGAAAGAATTCCGCTGGGATTACTTTTGGAAATTCATTTAAAAGGGAGATTAAATGATCTATTACCTTTCCCAACATTTTAACCGCCGTCTGTGAACGCAGAGAAGTAATTCTGGGATTTGGTAACTAATGTAACTAATTTTATTTTGTTTTTCTTAGTTTTTTACAGGTTTTAATAATTTATCTTTTCTGTATGATTTTTTTGTTTTATAATTTATTTAGTAATATAGCTGCAATAATATAGCTGCATTTGTTTGTTTTTTTTTGTTTTTTATATATATAAATATGTATGGATCTTCACTTTACAGTTCTTAAATGTTAACTACGCAAAATCTTATCCATTTTTGTTTTCATTTTCTTCTCGTTTGTGTGCCATTGAATATGCTTGCAAGACTCCTACAATAAACTTTCATAATTAGTGTATATAGCTACAATATATTTATATCAATGTGTATATTCAAAATGTGAAATAAAAAACTGTATTTAAAAATAGGTTTCCTTTGTTTTTCTCTTTTTTGCCATTCAATCAATCCACTGCTGCGGTTTGTTGGCCTTATCAATTAAATATTTTGCGTATTTAATGCATGTTTTTGCGTATAATAATTGTATAAATTACTAATATAAATTAAGCACTCGAAATTACAGCTGCTTCAAATGCTTGCATGACACACCAATAAATCGCTGTGCTATGCTTTTGAGTTTGAGAGCAGCATCATCAAATCATTCACATAATACCCATATAATTATTTCGTTATTTTTTTATGCACTTTTTACAAACTTTCATCTCCCGCCCCTATAATACTCTCTAGTCATAGCAAAATAATAAATAATGAGTAGCAGTTAGCTGGTAGACAAAGCTGCTTGCTAGGCTAACACAAACGGGGGACTACAAAAAGCGAAATCTAGGCATTGGCGTGATTCGTTTTCCATTTTATTTTAGCTAAAAAGTCGAAAGCAGCAAGCATATATAAACCGTACATTAAATAGTTCAATTGTGGCTGGAAGTACATTTAAATTATATTAGGCGTATCTATTGGTTAGAGTGTCAAAATGTGTTGTAAAAAGAAAATCTATCTCCGAATCCATTTGTACAGTACACACGAATATATGAACGCTCTCCATCCTCTTATATCCTTAATAATCGTTTAACTATACTAATTTATGTACCTTGCCTCCTGCAGCAAGTGCGGGTGAGTTTGTATTTTGGTTTTGCTTAGTTATCATCGTGTCTAAATCAATTGATTTGTGGATCTTACTACATAGTACTTGTCGAAGTGCAGCACATTCATATACACATACATATAAGCTGTTTGAAAACCTCAATAAAAATTTGTGTGCCAAGTTCGTTTTTGTTCCATTGCCTTAATAAGTCTAAACCGTATTTAACATGCTCCGTCGTCTCTCACTTAGGTTTAAGAATTTAACACTATACACTATGAAGAGGATTACTTAAGATATTGCGACCATCGTGTCCTGTTTTGTTTTGTTTTAGTTTAGTTTTGTAGTTGGTTTCTGCTTTCTTTTGATTCTGGATGCCTTGGTCAGTAATTGTGGTCTGGTGTGAAGTGTTGTGTGTGCAGCCGGAACGATCGATGATCCACTCCCGATTAACGCAGCTGATTCCTGTTTATCAAAATATCGTATTAGATCAGGTATAGCAAGGTCTCGAGATAGACATTCACTAGTAGATGATTCTAAGCATAAAGATGAGTGTTAAATTAAAACAAAGGGCTTACTAACTTTTTACATAAAAACTTGACAAGGCGTTGCGCAACTTAGAGTCGCTTGGATTTCTGGTTTCTGGATTCTTGAGCCATACGCTGACGTCGTCTCTGCTGATGATGATGATGTTTTTCTTTTTTTTTATGGTGAGTATGTGGGGATTGTATGTGTGGGAAACAAAATGTAAACGCTTGAACACAAAAATCACACAAAGCAGTTCCTCACGGCCGCGGCCCGAGTATTGTCTTTGTTCAGTTGCTTGCTCTCTACAATTGCCGTCTGTCCACTTATCTGGGCCGTTGTCTGTGGGGATGAGAGAGAGCGGGCGATGATCAAACGGAACCGGAAACGGAAACATAAATGCAACATAAGCAACAAGAAAACGATGATAAACTATACATTTTATAATGGGGTGGATGAGCCTAGTCTTAATTTTGGATACACTTGTCTGATTCATACTTGTCTTGGCTTACAGATCATATCAACCCATTATCGTGATCTTCGATTTGATTCCTATCATAGGTATATAACTCACCTAAAGTACTGATCGTGCAGGGACTGTCGCTGGAACTCGGCGGCCTGTAAATACTGTATATATGTAATTAATGAGTTAGGAGGTGGATTAGGGAATTGGGAAACCTGTAGTTGGTCGGCATAGGACATGCGCAGCAGGACATCCGAGTGCGGCTCCCTAGGTATAAGCATATTTGGCCGCGGATACTGGCCAACATTCGCTGAAATGTAAACAAGAAAGAAAACAAAAAGTTGGATCAGTTATTTTTCTATCCCTTAGGGGGGTATAAAACATGGCGAAAACCTCAAGGGCTATACAAACTCACGTGGCAGTTGGAAACCGGCCTCCGGTGGTTGCGGCTGTGGATGCAAAGGCAAATGTAAATGAGTATGAGAGTGTGCATGATATTCTCTCGTCAATCGTATCTGAAAATTATCGAATATCGTAGAAAGTTTCAAAAGAGCCAGTGCTGCGTGGGCGTGGTCGCCAATAGAACATTAAGAGAGATTTATGTAACGATGCGTAATGCGGGTTATTAGATGGCGACAAATGTCGATTCGATTTTGGTTTGGTAATCATTTTTTTTGTGGTTAGGTGCCCTTCCATCGAGAGGGCAAAAGCATGGCATGGCAAATAAAATGGTTAGCACAGAGAACATGAACAGCATGACTTTGGGACACGTGCTGGGGGGTTTTGTATGCGGGTACTGGACTGGTTAACAGGTGAGCTGACAAGTGGACATAGTGATTGGTTCGGTTTTGCGGTTCGATCGCTTGACGTTCCAAATACGATTGATTTTGTGAATATGAGTCGAGTGGAGTAAAAAAGAAGTGTAGCCTACCATACGCACCATGTGCTCGCCCGGGTCCAACCCCACATGGTGCGGAGGTGGGATTCCCAGACGCTCCCTCTCCATCTGCGATATCGCCGGATTCGCATATAGGGGGAACTGCGAGGGGTGGATGCCGCTGTTGGGATGGTTAGAAAAAGATCTACACAATTAATTTATATTTCATATATTATCTAAAAAGCCTCAACCCACCGCCGATAGTACTCCATCCAGTGCGGATCTAGTCGGGATTGACTAGCCGCAGCAGCTTGTGCGTTCTTGATCTCCTCCAGTTCCCTGTAAGTATTTTAATATTTAGTATGAGCACCAGGATTAAAGGCTGGCCGCATTGGCATCCATGTGTTTTTGATTGGGGAATCGTGGCTTGGAGCAGGGCAAATTGCAAAAGATAAGCATAAATTTTGACGTGCGCATAATTATACCGAATTCTTAAAAAGCTGGCGGGTAATAAGCAGGGAAATGACAATGCCTTTTATAATGGTTTGGGTTTAATAAATGATTGTGTTAGTGCCTTTCAGAATCGAGTTGACATGTTAGAAAATTACTTTTTTATAAGGTTATAATTCAAAATGAATTGGATCAATAAAGTTATTTATTTAATTTTGTATGTCAATATTTTTAGTTCTGTCTAAAAATTCCGAAAAGCACTGGGAAATGTGAGGAAATTATGAATATTGATTGAGTTTTTGTGAGGTAGGTGTGAATGGAATTTATGAGGCGTGAAAGGGTTTATGGTTGTGTGTTTGGGATATGTGATATGAATTTCGCATTGAAGTGGGGTCTTGTCAGGCTTTGGTACTGTACCTCTCTCTGTACATGGGGCCCATTGGATGATGATATGGCACCATCTGCTCAACAGGACTGAAATTGAATCGAATGGAAATAATTACAATCAACGAACGCGACTTGGTAGGCTCCCAAAAGGAGTCAGGTAGGGAAAAACGACAGAAGACAACTGAACTGAATCCTAACACCAGACGAAAGATCTCGGGGGAGCGTTATTCTTTCAGCACCCTCGACACTCACCTGAAGGCGACATGGGGACGAGCGTACTCCGACAGTTGTCGTAATGCTGGCGTATCCGCATACGGGGGCTTCAGCTCCGCCTTCATCTTGGCCTGCTGCGCCGCCTGTTGGGCGGCTGCTGCTTGCTGTTGTTGCTGCTGCTGTTGCTGTTGTTGCTGCTGCTGTAAGGGATTAGACATCGGATTAGATTGTGTCCACTATTAGATAGCATGTCCACTAACCTGTCGCCGCTCTCGCTCCTTCTCGGCCAGCTTGCGGTCGCGCTCTTCGCGCTTGCGGGCCAACTTTGAGTCAGCCACCGGCTTGAAGATCAAATCCGTTCGCGTGCATGAATTGTAATCTCCACGATCGATGTGGCGCACAAATCTGTGGGCAAAAACAGAAACAATTGTTATTAATGTAACAGTTTAAAGCCATGGCTGTAATTTCTTTTAGAAGGACACTCACATGGCAGACTGAGAGCGATGGCATTCCGTGTCGTCCGGTTTCGCTTCGGGACTGGGACCACGTGGTATGTTGTGCGTTGGACTGGGTATCTCTGGCTCCGGATCCGGCTCAATATCAATGGGCACTACAAAATGAAAAAATTTAATTAGATAAATCTATTAGTTTCCACATCCAAGTTCCCAATATTACATGGCTCCGTGGGATGATGTCCTCCGCCCATTCCCGCCGAATTGGCCGAGTGTGCGTGGGCTCGCAGGGCGTCCATGTGCGATGTGGGCTTCAGACCGTGAGGCTGACCATCTTGCGGGGCGAAGGGCGATCCGTGAGGTGGTCCTTGTGGATATCCCGGCATATGGCTGCCAGGATAGGCACCAGGCGGAAGACCCGTCGGTGTTCCAGGTCCACCCATTCCCGGAGGCATTCCACCGCCCGGACCCTGTGGCGTCTTTGGCGTCGGCGGTTTGTTTGGTTGCATTCCGCCAGGCGGTTGTTGCTGCGGCGCCTTGTGCTGCTGAGCTGCCGCTGCTGCTGCTGCTTGGTGTTGTTTCTCAGCAGCTGCTGCTGCTGCGGCTGCCGCTGCATTCTGCTCATCCTGACGCATCTGCTGTGGCGGCGGTCCCTGCAGTCCA